GTACGGTTCTCCAGGGTCAATGTAAGTTTCAAAGCTGGTGGGAACATCGACACCACCAGTCCATAGCTCAATGAATGAACCGAACTCAACGTATAAATGTTGATATATGCTGTTTTGATCTACCGTGTATGTATGGCACAAATTAAACCCAGAACGTGTCCTAAGGGGAATGATCCTTCGACCCTCATACGAGAAGTGAAACTGTATACTTCAAAAGAAGAAAAAGCTACGTCTGCTGGCTCTTCAAATTCATTTTCTCGTTCCGTCCCCAGATAGCCAACCAGTCCTGGACTGAAGCACTCGCCGACTTGAGCTCCTTGAAACAAGCATTGCGCACTCTCTCGCTCTGAATCACAGCAAGCGCCTTGCGAATATTGCGCGGTGAGCTGGTCTCCAAAGCACTGGCGACCCAATGCCCTTCGGGAGCTTCCAGCGCGAGAATAATTGGAAACGAGAGCTCTCGATTTCGCAGGTCTTCGGCAAGCGCCCCTTTGGCCTTGGCATATTCGGATGAGTAGACATTCTTGCAGTCATTCTGCAGCTGAGAGCACCACCTATCTCAGGGTCAGCTTTCGGCTCCTGCTAGACATGGTAGATTTGTAAGGAATTAAATGAGGCATACGCAAGAGTAGTCATCGTCCCGTCCATCGATTGGTCCTCCATCACCAATTCCCCCAGCAGCCGGAATAACGCCCCAGTTTTCAATGACGCCATCTTGCGATAGGCTGCAACTCGCTCCTCAGGAACAGTCGAAAGGCTACCCAGTCCATCCCGTCGCCAGATTAGTGACAGGTCTTGGCCTTCGAGAATTTCTTCCAGATTCTGTAGCAGGAACTTGGCCAGCTTGGGGAACTTTTGCACGGTCTTGTTGAGAATCTGGGTGACTCGGTAGTAAGCGCGATTTGCTGTCTCCGAAGGGCCATATATCCGGTGGGCTGCTGGCTTGCCTTTTCGATAGTCGCTATTGTCAGTTATCTGCTTGATGTTAGACTGTATTTATATAGATTCAAGGTATACGTACATCGTCAACTAGCATGAGACACAGGTGGATTGCATCCATTATCTCCAGAACCATCTTATATTTGGCCGAATCCTCATCCTTAAGCCTCGGAGACAGCTTCTGTACGAATGGCTCCCAGTGATACTTCCCATATATCTGACGGATGTAGGCATATGGGCACTCGAACGATGTCACGGTCTCTGGTTTCTTCTTGCCAATCAGGAAAGCTTTGGAATTTGGCCACAAGGGACCAATTCTATCAAGGACGAGATAGAGAATTAGAGGGGCAATGCCTAGGGTTGCCACCAGAGGGATGGGAATGGAGGCAACGTCCGGAAGTGCCGCCATGATTCGGTCCTTCCTGAGTGGGACGAAGTGCAAGGATGAGAAAGTTAACGGATGACAGCGCGGTACCCCGATGAGCTCGCAAAGGGACGCTGTCCTGTCTATATATGTATGCTATGGATAGGATTCTTCAGCCGTACACTCATCGTCAAGGGCTCAGGGTCCCCTCTGGGTAAGCTGTTGCTTCGCACAAGTTACACCATCTCCTTTTCAGTGCGGTCGAGCCGGCCAGAATGGTTGTTGCCTGACTCTCGCTCTTGAGAGAAGCTGACAGTTGGGTATGGCGACATGCCTCTAGCGGCACGACAGGAGATACAGCCTTTGAAACCTGGTGCACTCCCCCTGGCTGACTTGCAGGTCTTTGAACGGCTTGAGACTGGCACACCGGTGACACATGATTACCGAGACTCCTGATGGTCCTACCTGGTGCGGACATCAGTCCACTCATAGGTAATGACAGACCTTCATGGCATATCGTCAGCGAAACAGTACCAGGGCGCCGTAGCACTGGGTGACCGCGAGTCATCTCACTATATAAGCACGCTCATGTCACGTAAAACGCAAATGACCCAGATCCTGACGGCAACAAAATCGCTACAAGCATTGAATCGTGTCTTCGTATCGCTTCAATGGATGGGTTCGACCATTCTACTGCTCCACCAGAATATAACGAGCTAAAATGGCTCGCCGATATTTTCGTCATCGGAATGGCTGTTGGCTGGGTTGCTCACTATGTGGAGATGATTCACATATCGTTCAAGGACCAAACATACTGCATGACCATCGGGGGCCTTTGCATCAATTTTGCCTGGGAAATCATATTCTGCACAATGTATCCTGCCAAAGGGTTTGTCGAGCGGGTTGCCTTTCTCATGGGCATTTCTCTCGATCTTGGGGTTATTTACGCGGGCATCAAGAATGCCCCAAATGAGTGGCACCACTCTGTAATGGTGAGGGACCATATGCCCCTCGTCTTCGCAGCGACGACAATTTGTTGTCTGAGCGGTCACATGGCTCTTACTGCCCATGTTGGTCCCGCACAAGCCTATACGTGGGGGGCAATTGCATGCCAGCTCTTTATCAGCATAGGGAATGTGTTTCAATTGTTGAGTCGGGGAAACACACGAGGGGCGTCATGGACGCTATGGTAAGCGTTGGTTTGATCTGTTTAGGCTGTTTGCTGTGCTAAGTAATCACTAGGATCTCCAGGTTTTTTGGATCAACATCAGCCATTGGCTTTGCTCTTGTTCGATATATTCGCTGGTGGGAGGCTTTTTCTTGGTTGAACTGCCCGCTTGTGTTATGGTCCGTGGTCATGTTCTTTCTGTTTGAAATTCTGTATGGAGCGTTATTCTATTCTGTCAAGCGACAAGAAGGAAGATCCCAGTGTGGAATCAAGCACAAGGAGAGGTAGATACTTACCTGAGCTATTGTGCGTTGTATATGCATCAGACAAGTATGAGCTGCGGGAAGATTCTATATCACCGGGATAAGTTGATAGCCAGGAACGGCATGGAGATAGATGAGTGTGTAACACAACAGCAATTTATCCTGACGGAATGGCGGAGAAAGTTCACGGTGTTGTACCACTCTTTGTGGTGCTCTCATGGGAACGGAGTCTCTGCTTGTCATGCAATAGTAAATATGTTTTGGCCGACAAATACCATCACCCAACGATAGAATACCGCAGTGGATATACTGTATTCACATATATTGCTGTCCTCGGGTAGAAATAGAGGTAAAGCATACTACTGTTTTGCCACTTTTGATTGCAAGTTGACGATGACATGATGAACAGCCACGCTTGTGACACAGCAACTACTGGTCAAGCGCATGTACCACGGGGCTGGCTTGCATAAGCCCGAAGTAGCTTGACTACGCAGTTATGCCACAATGCCGGTGTTGGATGTCACTTGAGGGCCATTCGCTCCAGCACTGAAAATAGCAAACACTCGGCTTGCCGTACGGTTTGAAATCCATCTGCCTCAGGCTCGATATAATTCCAGTCAACCAAATAAACACGATATATATACCATACGCAGGACTTATCTTCAATTAGGCTTTGTATCTGGCGTGATTCGCAAGCATGGCCAATGCCCAGCAACCCCCCTTTCGCGTCCTTATTGTGGGCGGTTCTGTCGCAGGCCTCACCCTTGCGCACTGTCTCGAACGCGCCAATATCGAGTACCTCATACTCGAAAAAGGAGAAGATGTTGCCCCGCAAGTTGGTGCCTCGATAGGTATCATGCCAAATGGCGGACGGATCCTCGAGCAACTGGGCCTATTTGGGGAGATTGAGCGTGTGATCGAGCCGTTGCATCAGGCGAATATCAGCTATCCAGATGGGTTCTGCTTTAGTAACGTCTATCCTAAGGTTCTTGGCGACAGGTATGTCAACAGTCTCTGGATTATCCTGCGGACAGAAGAAGATGGAGGGTGTTGTGACTAAGGGTCTAGGTTCGGATACCCGGTTGCATTCTTGGACCGGCAGAAATTCCTGCAGATTGCGCATGAAGGGCTTAGAAAGAAGCAGAACGTTCTCACTCGAAAAAGGGTAGTCGGCGTGCGACAGACGGAACATGCAGCTGCTGTTTCTGTGGCTGATGGAACAGAGTATGAGGCCGATCTCGTGGTTGGTGCTGATGGAGTACATAGTCGGGTGAGAAGTGAGATTTGGAAGATGGCGGAGGAGAATCAGCCTGCATCAGTTTCGACACGTGAAAGAAGAAGTATGTATCGGCAAAGTCTCAATTCCTTTGTGCTGGGTGCAATGAGAACTAATACAAGCAGGCATGACTGTTGAATATGTCTGCGTTTTCGGGATCTCATCAGCCATCCCAGGGCTCGAGATAAGCGAACAGATCAACGGTATTTTCGACCATCTATCCATTCTAACAATCCACGGCAGACATGGTCGGGTGTTCTGGTTCGTGATCCAGAAGTTGGATAGGAGATACGTCTATCCTGATGTCCCGCGATTCTCAGACGAGGATGCCGTACAGCTCTTCGATCGGGTCAAACACGTGCGGTTCTGGAAAAACATCTGCGTGGGGGACTTGTGGAAGAACAGAGAGGTGTCCTCGATGACAGCGCTGGAGGAGGGAGTGTTCGAGACATGGCACCATGATAGGATGGTTTTGATGGGAGATAGCGTTCACAAGGTACGTCGCTAGGAAAATTGAAGTGACATCGTTGGGCTTACTCAATGTGCAACCAGATGACGCCCAACTTTGGCCAGGGAGCCAATTCTGCCATCGAGGATGCTGCCGCGCTCTCCTCCCTTCTACATGATCTCGTCAACGCCCGTGGGGTTTGCAAGCCATCAAATGTCCAGATTCAGCATCTCCTCAAGCAGTATCGGGAGACTCGATACACTCGCATGGTAGGCATGTGTCGCACCGCGGCTTCAGTCTCTCGAATTCAGGCCCGAGATGGCATCCTCAACACCGTCTTTGGACGATATTGGGCACCATATGCTGGCAACCTGCCTGCTGACCTGGCATCAAAAGTAATGGCCGATGCAGAGGTTGTTACTTTTCTGCCTTTGCCAGGCCGCTCAGGACCGGGCTGGGAGATGTACAAGCGGAAGGGGAAGAGAGGGCAGGTGCAATGGGTGCTTATAATCCTCACCTTACTTACGATTGGTGGATTGAGCATCTGGCTCCAAAGCAATGCGTTGAGTAGATGATAACTTCTGCTCTCCGATCTTTCTTTGATTTAGTATGATGTATTCTAAGTTATCGAGGCGGAGGAAAAGGCTCGCTATAGCATAACTAATGTAGTAATGAGGATATCGAGAAGATAGATATGGAAATGCCCGAACGCCACGCTGCATTAACAACCAGATGAGGAGTATCATGTGCAGAAACACAATATAATGAGAGAGTATCACTTCGAAGCCGGCTTCTTTCTAGGCGAACCGACATTCAAAACCTGTCGCATGCGGCGTAACTTGGCCCACCATTCCCGGTCACTGGCCTTTTTGACCTCGGGGTTGACATCGTCCGCCACAAGCTCATCCGTGGATGGTACCTCGGAGACAGCACGACTGTCTCCCGAGGTGGTCGAACGATTCAGTCGGCGATGGCGCACATTGAGCGCCTGGCCCAGCAGCTCCCAGCCACAACGTAGGCCTTCTGATTTCTCGGTGGCCCGTCCCGTTCCGCTCTGAGCCTTTCCGTTCACCCAAGGACAATAGTCCATGTGCTCATTCAACACTTCCAATGAGTCGTACAGAGCTTCATCGCCGTTGGGCTTTGGTTTGTACATCCACAGGCCCAATCTCCGGAAACACACGCTACAGCCGACCAGACCAGCTGTCCCGCCGGGGACTGAGTCCCAACCGAAAAATGCTAGTATGAAAGCGTTCTTTAAAACAGATGGCTCGGGCTCAGAGTTCTGCGCGTTCCTTTTCCCATCTTCACCCTCAGTATTGCTCTCAATGCTCTCCGTGCGCGTACTTTCTTCGGACCCGTTGAAGCTTGCTGGAAGTATCTTAATGAGCATGTCGAGATCGAAGGACTGAGGCGTTTGGATGACGTCTGCGGCCGGCAATTGATCGGCCATCTTCACGAGGTTCGAGTATCGTTTTTCCAGGCCGGAGATAGCTATTTCGGGGTTTGCTAGCGGCAATCGATGGATAGTAGCTGTAACAGTCAGCTCCCGAATGGCAACCACAAGTATCAAAGAACCCACCATCACAGCCCTTGTTCCTCCACGGACAAGTCTCCCCATGCCCCTTGACCAGCCTTTCCGCGTATTCGTCCACAAGTTTGGCTCCTGATCTCCATTAGGCACACGAAGCAGACACGGCAATTGGCAAACTTACGAACTTCCTTCCTCTCCTGCACCTTTTCGGCATCAAACCCATCCAACTCATCCAGCTCATCCGGGAGCTTGACCACAACCGACCCACCACAGTTCCCAGCACATGTTACCCGGGCCACATCTGTACATATCCAGCCGCGCTTAGACCACTCCACCTCACTAATTGCTGACGGTTTGGGTGCCCATCGGTCGACGCGACGAAAGGTTTCCAATCGTTCGAGGAAACGTTCGCGATCCCAAGGAACAAAGCTGGGCCGCGAGGTTGACGATGACGACGAATCTCTGGAGCTAGGGCGTGCGACCTTTAGAAGTGAGTTTCGTGCAAGTGAGAAGCCGGGCGCATCTAGACGGGCTTTTTTGTTCGATGCGTCTCGAATGGTTGCAGGCGCTTCGGCGGTAGCTGATTTTGTGGACTCGGAGGTTGTAGGTTTGGTTAGAGACTCGAGAACCCGATGGAACTTGCGCTTCTTCGTTTCAACGGCGTAGGACATTTTCCAGCGCGTGGAAGCAATGGTGTTTTGCAGTTGAAGTGGTCTTTGAGATAAGGGAGTGGATCTTTGGGGAAGGCCTAGGAGCTGGTGGCGCTAGACCCGAAATGGAGCTATCGTGTTCATGCCTGAGGCAACGAGAGGGGTGCTCGACCTGCAGGTAAATCGCCATGAACTACAGTGTAGTATTATGTGAATTTGTTTGCTAACATTATATCTGAGCAACATCAGATAGCCTTATTAATATTGTTACAGTTCAATGGATATGTTCCCAAAGGGGCATTGACCCACAGGACAGGGCTGATAGTATCCATTGGATTGGATCTCTGTATCTTCAAATAAGGGCCTCCTCAGCGAAGAAGAAGGAGACCTTGCAGGCAGCAGAGACAATGCAGTTCTGGTAGATGCCTAACTGCAGGGGTTGTTTCTACAACTCACTTAGGTCATTGTCTGTCCACATCTGAGTCCTTTCTCAACTCACACTTGCCATAAAACATTATTGATCAAGACTATTGTGGTCTTTTCACTGGCCAGAACTGTGCAACTTACTACTGTGACTACTTCATTGTAATCCTTCTCTATTAGACTTAACTCGCATATCTATGGCCTCCACCTGCCCTAGATAGTCACATCAGCCAAGTGACGTTTGAAGGTATCACCCACAGAGCACTAAGAAGTTAGATTTACTCTTGGCCATGCTGACAGTTGGTCACATAGTTCAACCTGCAAATGGCTCTGAACAATGAGGTACCCCTTCTTCCAGCCTTTCAGCGTGCGCTGGCAATTCCCGAGATTCTGAACCACATTTTTGAGTGCCTCTATCACTACCGCCTAGACGGTGTCCAGTTCCCGAGTTTACGTTGCGTACATATCATGAGGACCATCGACCTTTCTGATTTCGAGGAGATCAAATTCCACAATAATTGCGTTCGGTCCATCCGGTATTGTACACCTTGTCCTTCAGACATTGAAACCGAAGAGCACGCCACAGATTCTTTTGAGAAGCTTCTTACTCCTCTTCTGGTAGGTATCTCCATTGCATTGAGGTGATACCGTTCTAATCCCATCAGTCGCATTTTAATCATCTGATAGAGTGGGTCATTGTTTCAGGTAGAAGCATGGACACATTAAAATACTTTTAAATTCACACCAGGCACCGAAGGACAGGGCTGGCACCGGTCAGGTCATGGCCGTGTAAGAGGTTCGCCTAACTAGGGCGTCTTGGTTACATAAGTAAGGTTCTATTTGGGGGAAAATGAGCAGAAAAACCACGTATGCAGCCGAGGCTGAGCCTGAACACGGTGGATCTCGACAGCTTTTGTTGTTTATCTCAGCATCTATTGACGTAGAACTGAAACAAATGTGTGCTGTGTATGATGGTATTTCCCATCAGCAGACCGCAGAAAGCAGAGGCATTATGGGAATGGAGACACTTTCCTTGACCATAATCAAGCCCTCTTGTTATACTGTACAAACGGGTATAGTTCCTTAATCATACATAAGGTGGGCTTCATCGCAGCTGAAGCGACTTATGCCTTCATCGGCAGGGTATACACAAGGTCTTATAACTCATCAGTAGCAAACAATAAAAAACAACTAAGAGAAAACAATGCCAGATCAAGTATGATTCATGTAGCGTACATAGTCGAATGCTACCTTATCTCAGATTATAGGTTGAGGCTGAATTGCGGGACTGCAGACTTACAACTACGATCCAGAAACAGTGGGCAATTAAAATTTTATAATTCAGTCCACTGTATATCAAGGCCCAAATGATGCTCCAACGAGAGACTGTAATGCCTCAACTAGAGTTGACATTGCCTCCAGACTGCGAAATTCGTATCCCACCACAAGCCACAATCCGTTAGCTTCCTTTCAGCCCTAGTCTCAGCTTAGGTAACCCAGAAACAAACGACTATAAAAGCGTCGCTTATCCTCCACCAAGATGGACCATATTACTCTTCTATACACCCCATCGCAGATATCCGTTCTGTTCCTACATCTCTTTCTCAGTGCCTGTCCACTCTAAGCAACATCAATCCCCTGCAACCCCCAACCCCACAATGTCATCCCTAACCATCTACCTCATCACCGGTGCCAGCAGAGGTACACACCACCATTCCTGATCCCACCCTCATGTTCATCTCACCCACAAAATAACCCAGGTATCGGCCTCTCCCTCACCCAAGCCATCCTCCTTCGCCCAAACACCACCGTAATCGCCACCATGCGCAACCCCACCACCAACTCTCTCTATACTAACCCCCCACCAACATCCCCCACCTCAACCCTCATCCTCCTCCCCCTCGACATCCAATCCACCACCTCAATCACCAACGCCATCGAAACCCTCAAATCAACCCACAACATCACGCACATCGACACCGTGATTTCCAACGCAGGCTACTACAACGACGCCACCCACCGCGTCGACAACATCCCCCTCTCCACCGTGCAGTTGCACTTCGATGTGAACACGCTTGGCGTAATCCGTCTCTTTCAGGGAGTATATGACATGCTGAAGAAGAGCACAAATCCGGTGTTCGTCACTGTGAGTAGCTTTCTGGGGAGTATCGGTGGTCTTGAAGAAGAATTCTTTCCCGGTGCTGCATATGGGGTTAGTAAAGCTGCTGGGAATTGGGTGACGAGAAAGATGCATGTTGAGAATGAGGGGATGGTTTGTTTTATGGTGCATCCAGGGTAAGCTTACTATCTTGTGCGTTGGGATGGCTGGGGTGTGCTGATTTGTGTGGTGTGTAGGTTCGTGAAGACTGAGATGGGGAATGCGTGTGCGAAGAGCATCGGGTTGGAGGAGGCTTTTACGGAGCCGAGGGAGTGTGCGGAGGCTTTGGTGAATTTGGTAAGTGCTTCCTTTCTGTGAGCCTGATATATTGGGGTTTGGTACTGAGTGGAGTAGATCGAGGGCGCCACGAGAGAAACAGTTGGTGGCCGGTTCATCAGTTGGAAGGGAGAAGAGGTTCCTTTCTGATTGGTAGGTATATACGAAGCTGTTATGATGCTGCATGTTGCGCTGTTTAGTAGAGTACCTTATTAGAGTTCATTATCATACGATCTGGTGAGCTTAAATTTCAACTGTCCCACAAAAAGCCCTATCATCCTCCACCCAAGTCTCTAGATATACACATACTAGTATACTTCCAACCCCGCATAAGCACTCTCGGATATCCAACATCCCGTATGTGCACAACACCCCCTATAACCCCATAACCAACCAATCAATCCCATATCAACATATCCTTAACTCCGAATCATCACCGGAGTTAAATCCCTTAAGCCCGACATATCTCACATACCACCCATCGCAAGAAGCAGACAATACTATATATACCCATAACATTATCCCAAAACACCAGACCCCACCCACAGATCCAACCATCAAACCAACACTATCACCTCCAATTAATCATCCAAAATGCCCCTCATCTTCCTAACCGGCGGCAGTGGCTACCTCGGCCAAGCCATAACCACCCACGCCCTCTCCAAGAACTACACCATCCACTCCCTCTCACGCAGCCCCGAAAGCGACGCCAAGATTACCTCTCTCGGCGCAACCCCCATCCGCGGCGACCTCACCACCCACTCCGTGCTCCTTGAACAAAGCCAAAAGGCAGATATAGTCATCCACCTGGCGGACCCAATGGCAGGGAACTACTCTCTCCCATACGAAGAACGCATCCGCATCGACGACGAAGCAGTCACCGCCATCGCTGAGGGATTAGCTGGAAGCGACAAGCCGCTTGTAGTGACCTCCGGATCACTGGTCGTTGCTGCTACTGCTACGGGGAAGGAGACTGACGAGGAGTCCGCGTTATGGGAGGAAGGGAAGGCGCTGAATGAGCGGATTGTCTCTGAGAGGAAGAACCTGAGGTGGGTAGGGGAGAAAGGGGTGAGGGTTATTGTGATTCGGCTGCCGCCGTTTGTGTATGGACGGGGAGGGAGTGGGGTGGGGTTGTTTATGGGGATGTTTTGGAATGGTGGTGATAGAGGGGAGAAGGAGGTGAAGGTTGTTAGGGAGGCGGAGGGGGTGGTCACGTCTGCGGTGCATGTGGAGGATGCGGCCGAGTTGTATTTGCTTGCTGCGGAAAGGGCTGGTGCTGGGGACGTGTTCAATGGGTGTTCGGAGTGGGGGGTGACGTTTGGGGAGTTGGGGAGGGCAATGGCGGATGTTTTGGGGGTTGGGGTTGAGGTTGTGGGGTTTGAGGAGGCGAAGAGGGTGTGGGGGGAGTTCTTTGCGGGGTTTCTGAGTACGGAGAATAGGGCTTCTGGGGGGAAGGCGATGAGGGTGTTGGGTTGGGTGCCGAAGAAGGTTGGAATCGTGGAGGAGGTGAGGCATGGGTCGTATGTTGGGTTGGCGGAGAGGTTGAGGAGTGGTGCTGCTTGATGGTGTGCTTACAAGATGGGTTTTGTATAGATTTGTAGGTTGTGTAGATGGGTTGCTTGCTATTACGTTTGACAACGAGCATATTGTCAGAAGTGAGCGAAATATTGAAGATCTGATTTGCTATGGGCATGGTAAGCACTTAGCAGACGTAGCATAGTTCTTGCGCGCAGCTGGCACAGTACAGTATGTTCTCTGATAGATCTAAGCAACCTGGTCTTCACGATAAGGAATAATCTTCACCGGAGCAATCAATCCGTAGTCTGCCTCATCCGGTGGGGACGGAACCACCGTTGATGCATGCTGCCCACTAGTCTCCAGTTCATCCCAGTATGTCCGCAGAACATTCCCAAGTGTAGTGCTCACAACAACCTCGACTGAATTGCGTCCCCGTCGGATAAACTGTCCAATGTCCCACTTTGCCCATGTGATTTCTCCCGGAGGCAGCACATGCCCATTTATGGTGACTCGCGCCGTGTGAACAATTGGCCCAAGGTCAATGATTGCGCCAGACACCGTGCCATTGGTAGCCTCTGGAGGCCAGTCGAATGTTGTCGAGTAGTACCCAATTCCAGAAACATTGGTTAGTGATGTTGAAACCTGGTTCCAGGGCAATATATTTGGAAGCGCAAAAGTGTGGTTAGTGCGCGTCGGCCTCGACTCGACGTTGTAGAATTCCGAAGGCGCCGTCCATGACTCGACTATCAACGTCCAGTTTCCAAGTGTAAATGCAGGCGTTAGCATTGGGGCTAGCGTCACGGACTTCTCATTTGAAAGGTAGACGTCGCGAGACTCCTGATCAAAGGATCTAAGAACGGCGAGATGTGTCGTATTACTGGTTGCCCAAAGAACTCCGTCTGTTGTATTCTGTAAGTGGAGACTTGGCTGGGCGTTCTTATGGAAGCCGATAATCACGGACTGGTTTCCGGCCAGCGTAAGAGGAATTGTAACATGGGTCTCAGACTTCTGGTAGATAGACAAGGCAATGATATCGCCTGACCAGGCATCGTACAAGAAGGGTGTTCCCGTTGTCTCAAAAGATATACTTCCTGAAGAGGTTCCACCTCCATATGGGACCCCGGCTGCATCATTGTAAACATAGACGTAGTCCGTAAGCGTCTTTGTATCATACCTCCAGGTGGTGTACCAGGTGCGGTTCGCGCTCACAGATGTACGCGGCAGGATGTTGAGAGAATTGAGTGTTGCCGCCAGGTTCTCGTACGGCACAATATGGACATTATACAAAGAGGTTAGGTTTCTAATCGTGCTGACAGCTTGCCTCGCAGCTTTGGGATTGTACCCGCTGTAATTTCCGGGCAGTCCACCGGAAAAAATGATCGGAAGCTTGGAATGTGCGTACTCGACAAGCTTAGCAACCCCAGATGCTGTCAGAGTTTCGTTTGCTCGCACCACGAGCGCTCTGAAGGCCTGTTGATCAGGCGCAAAAGTGCCATTGGAAACATATGCTCCGGGTAGTACAAAGTTGTCGGGACTAAGGTATTCATATATATAGCCTACCATTAAGACCTTAGCTTAACGTCGTCAACACTTCGGTCCAAAAGAGAGCTCCTTACCTGCACTCTGTAAATCAACGGGACTGTAAACAGTTGGAAGGGTCTTGTAGGAGGTGGATTTCGACCAAAAGACAATGTCTGCCTTGGGAATACCTGTCTGTTGCACGAACTGGGTACGAGATATCCAATCGAGGAAATCTCTATAAAAGGCAAACGACGGCTGACGTGGACCATGCATCTCCGAAAACTCATATGAAAAGGTTGTAAAGCCAGGCCATGTCGTGTTTCCATAATTACCCGAGTAAGGGTATCCGTGAAGCACAAATTGATTGACCGAGCCGGCAAAAGAACGCTTCAGTGTCCACAAAAGCTCGGGTATAGGCTCCTGGTATGCTTTCGCCATCTCTGCGCCAGCCTCGTTGGTAATGATGCGCTTCCCAGCAAGGTGCGCGGGGCCTGCAAATTGCCTATAGCTGTCGATGCTGTCCCTGAATCCTAGGGTTTCGCACTCGGGTCCGTTGACATAGGGAACATTGGCAAGCATATCCATTGGCAAATTGTAAACCACCTGTGCTGAAAACTGAATACCAAGGTCATTGCTCCACTGTGTTAGAGATGTGAGATACTCGGCGTTCAGTTCCGTTAGCTACGCAAGTCAGCATCTAATCGCTTTCCCATGTAACAGGAGGCACACGAACTGTTTGCTGATAGTCCACTGTATGGCTCGCGCCTGCATCAGGCTCGTCAGTTACATAGGTCGTCTGAGGAGTCGACCCGCCGCCGGAGCCGACCAGGATCGGTATGAATCTGTTGATACTGTAGCCTCGATTGGTTTGGAACACCTCTTGGAGATGCGGGGTCCAGAATGTGGAGACGGTATATTCCTGGCTGTCTTCCCAGAGGTAATTGCCCACTTCACGAATCAGTGCGCCTGTTTCACTGTCCAGCAACGACTGTTTCCAGAAGTCTATAACTACTAACGCGCCTTGGGGCGAGAAGTGATCGACCACCCATGATCCGTTCTGAGGGTAACTGGTGATGGGTGACTGGGGGACAGCGGCCGGAAGGTTATCAGGACTCTCGACCTCTCGATACTCAGAGTGCACTAAATAGTAAGCGAAGATGAGCTGCTCGGAACTATCTGCAGTCTTGTTTGCCTGTATCTGAAGATGGCCGTTTGATTTGACGAGATTTGTCACATCTAACAGAGAGCTTTCCGCAAGCACTTTGTATGTTTCGTTGCTCGAACCAGTCGAGCTAACGTGAGCGGTAACAGCTGCAATCAATGGCCCTGCACCCCATCCTGGAATGATACCATCGAAGCCTTTGTCGCTAGGAAATGTCGAATTGAAGCCGGGTAAGTCCCAAAGAAGGCCATCGTCGTTATATGGCGCTGGGACACCGGCGCCTTGGTTTGGTCCCATTGCCAAGTCCACGAGTAAGTCGTATTTCTTTGCTGTCACCAAGACGGTGTCGGCCAGACTCTCTGGCTGATATATTAGCATTATCGCCACCGAACATAGCGTTGATAAACTTACTCCAGGCAGGGCTACCAAAACCGAATGTAGTCCAGTCTGACTGCAAAGGACATTGCATTTGTGCCCCATAATTCAGCGTGTCTCCATAAAGATAGTAACCGAGTAACTCAAGCCCCCCTGCTCCGGATTCCCCCATAGCCTTTACATCCTCCGCCACCACGTTCAGGTTTAAGGACGCATCATTTACCCAGTAGCGGAATCGTGGTCTCACGTTGGATGAAGGATCCTGAAAGGTGCCATAATCGATGTCAGGTTCGACTTGGTCATTAGTCCCGATAGTCCACACGGCCTGAGCAAGAAAAGCAGTATTTATGAGAAGATACGGCAAATGCATAGTCCTCGGTTTTGGCGATCTAATCCTGTCTCTGGTGTGGATGGCACAGCACCTAAAATCTATACATCATACTACTAGTAGATATACCTTTGATAGACCGTCCGCACAGTGCGACTCTGCCGCATCTGATGAGGGGAACGCTGGCTCGGTGCAATGCTGAGCCGAAATTGAGGAGTCATGCTGAAGATCTTTGGATGATGACTTGCTCGGCAATGCATAGAGCTTAAGAGGGGATCGAACTGCAGTGTGATAGTGGTAGTCTTTGCAGAGAGCTGAGTAGTCGAGGAGCGTGGCAGGTTTCACCATTTTCCACTGCCGTATGAAAGAAATACAGGTCGGTCTGATTGTAGCCGATCACAGAAAGTCGTATTCGTACAGATGAGGTGAAATAGTATCTAGGGTCGGAGACTCTGCATTCGGCCCCACTAGTGCGGGGCCCCGGGCATTCCGACAGAAAAAGAGGAGGAACATCCGGAGTCTAGGATGGCTTGATGTTGCAGGACCCCGCAGCGATAATATCACGGCTTCACAAATCGTTTGCGAGGAGTCCAAAGCAAATGAGGGGAAAAGTCCAGTGTATGTACACTTGTGATGATCTTCAGCACCGGGGAAATTCCGGACTCGCCTGTGACCGAGTCCACATACCAAGTCAACGGTGATGCTTTTCCTCTTGACAAGAAATGGCCCATTAGTATATAAGGCGCTTCACATGCATGCAACAGTATCTTAAATACTTGGGGAATAAGCTTTCGGTTGAGTGGCTGTGCTTCTCAGGCGCTTTTTACCTGGTACCTTGAACCTCGCTGTTTTCAAGGAGCCATGGGTAAGGCCTCAAGCAACGTGTGGCATGATAGATAGTCACAGAGACTATTGTTGGAAGAAATCGGTTAAAGCTTGCCTAGTTGTGGCTTCCAGGGTGTGAAAGTGACTCAAATATGCCTCGATGCACAAGTTCACCCAATAACTGTCTGTGACATGACACTGGACTAAAAGTGATGAAGAAACACCGCGCTGAGAGCCTTAACGGCCCTATATGCAGCGATAGAATGAAGTGTGGAATCTGCACACTCGTAGAGGAATCGTAACAACTGGTGATCATTCATCGAGGCTAGGACTTTTCAGGAGGCTTGAAGCAAGCAAGGAGCCTTGACCATTCCGTATATCAAGCCAGATTGGCTGAGTGACGATACAACTTCAATGTAAATTAATATGATAGAATTTCACATCACTGTAATAGACAAGGGTGCTGAGTAGTAGGTAGAGATGCTACTAAGTAAGATACCTAGAAAGTATAAAGGGCCAGGTGTAGTATGGGCTGATCGATCGGCAACAAATTGACGTGCTCTGATTGGTTGGCGAGGTCTCGGCCTTCGGGCTTCCGAACGCGAGACTCGCCGAGATCCAACCAGAAATTCTGGCCTGGCAAGCCTTGGACAGGTTCATTCTCTCCTCATCCGCCCATCATGGCATCCTTCGGGCCTTCCGTGCCCTTGCTGCGAAGCCTGTCTCCCCGGCTGTCGAGGGAGCTCTTCACCTGCCGCCAATGTTTGGTCCGTACCCAGAAATTCGCGACTAAGTCCGCCTTCCGCAGACAATTCTCCGCCTTGCCCTTCGCCCAGAACACCAACAGCAGAGCCAACTCTGCCCTGCAGTCCAGGGCGAGAAAGCTTTTTGCGTCCAGTCTGAGAAGAAACGTCTCCGGATCAGCAGCACCGGAGGCAATTGCTGCCCAGGAAGGAGCCGCGAAAGCCAAGTCTAGCTTTCCGGATGTGAGCGATAAGAAAGTGGCCTACTGGCTGCTGGCCAGCGCGGCCAGTGTGTTTGGCATTGTCGTTTTTGGCGGCCTTACCAGACTGACTGAGTCAGGGTATGGTCTTCTCCTCCATTGCTAAGTTGCAACCAATGCTAACACAGCCATGTTGTAGTCTGAGTATCACCGAATGGCGCCCTGTCACCGGATCCCTCCCCCCAATGAACGCCGAAGACTGGGAGTCGGAATTCTCCAAGTACCGTGCCTCTCCCGAATTTCAACTCCTGAACCCGCATATGACCCTCTCCGAATTCAAGTCGATTTACTACATGGAATGGATCCACCGTCTTTGGGGCCGCTTTGTCGGCCTGTCGTTCGTGCTCCCGGCCGTATACTTCGTTGCCACGAAAAAGGTCAGCAAGCCCATGTCTCTGCGCCTAGCTGGTATTGCGGGCTTGATTGGATTCCAAGGTTTTATCGGTTGGTGGATGGTCAAGTCTGGTTTGAAGGATGATCTGTTTGCTCCCGGTAGCCACCCTCGTGTCAGCCAGTACCGTCTGACGGCGCATCTGGGTGCAGCTTTCGTCTGCTATACTGCTATGCTCTGGAACGGACTTGCCATTCTGCGCTCTCACCGTCTGCTCGCGGACCCGGAAGCTGGAATTAAGCTTCTGGACTCGCTTCGTGACCCTAAGCTCAAGATCTTCCGTCGCTCCGTTGCCGCTTTGGCTGCTCTGGTTTTCGTGACTGCCATGTCGGGTGCCCTGGTCGCTGGCCTGGATGCTGGTCTCATCTACAACGAGTTCCCGTTCATGGGTAATGGCCTGGCTCCTCCTAAGTCTGAACTGTTTGATGAACGCTACTCTCGCCACGAGGACCGGTCGGACCTCTGGTGGAGGAACATGCTGGAGAACCCTTCCCTGGTGCAATTGGACCACCGCACCCTGGCCATGACTACCTTTACGAGCATCATGGCTCTGTGGGCCTACACTCGCAGATCCCCCACCATGAAGCGCCTCTTGCCCCGCGCTGCGAAGAAGGGTGTCCACGGTGTGGTCGCTTTCGCCTGCATGCAGGTTGGTCTTGGTATCTCGACTCTTCTTTACCTTGTTCCCACGCCTTTGGCCTCTGCCCACCAGGCGGGCAGTCTGTTCCTTCTTACCTGGGTGCTTGTCTTGGGAAGCCGTGTCTGGCACCCGTCTAGGACGGCTAAGCTGCTTCAGATGGCAGCCAAGGCCCGTGGACAGGCTCTTGCTAATGCCGCGGCCCATGCTCCCCGGAGAGTTTGAGGGTCAACCGTGAAATAGGACGAACAGGCAGGAGTTCTGGACGACATCTACATGTATTATACTGCCACGGAGTGGCCCTGTATGTCTACTAAAATCTCTACTTCACGTATTTGTATAATATGATCACGTACCACTGGAATTGCCTCGGGCGTATTAGCTCAATCCTGCCATGGTAGTACTCACAATCCAATTTCCGCTGGCATCAGGCACCAGACATACCGGAGAACGGCGGAGGGGGTCGGTGCCTACCTTCTTCGGAATATTTTCCCTATGATGGAATCCAACTCTCATCTCTCTCACCGGAATGCCTTTTCTGCCCGTCTGTCCCACACCCAGTGTGCAAGCATTTAAAAACAGAGAATATCCAACGATTTTTCAGAGAACTGAAGGGAAATGGTACCGTGTCACTATGACACAATAATGAAGCCGAAGGGCATGAGTTTGTTGCAGGAGCAAAAGTCGAATAACAGAACATCAACAGATAGTTATCTGTTTGACGTGGCACGTTCACTCCTCACTTGCCCTGTCTGTCTGTTGGGTTTCGAATTCTTCGCGGGCACGTTTGGCCAGGATGAGAAAAGGAGCACGTATAGTTCGTCTCTCTTCCTCAGTGGCAGGGGATCCTATGAACTCTGTAAGAAGAAGTTTCGTTCCAGACCTACATAGTGTCTATCACCTACCACTTTCACTTCTGAGACTAGCAGAGTCTTCGAGCCCCAAAGCATACAGCATCTCCGCACCTTCTGCTGTCTCGGGAGCTCGAGCATCATTCAATATTGCTCCCTCAGCTGCCGGGGACGGAGCAGCGGTAGCTTCAGGCGTTGGTGCTGGTGCTGGTGCTTGACAACGTTGGCGATTTTCCCGGCGGCCTCGTCGGTTTCTCCTCCCCCTCCCTCTATGCTGTTCTTCTTCCCTCCTTCTACTAGTATATATCCATCTTCTGGCACGACCCCTCCCTCTAGTCATTGCCATCCATCCTCCTAGTCTCGCCACTCTCTGTTCATGATCAGCAGTCGCCTGGGCCATTAACTCAGTTACATTAACGGGTGAGAAATGCGTCCTGCCTTGGACCCGATGGGTTCGACGACCACCATTCTCGATCGTGCATGCACGACATTCTCGCCATCCACATGATCGGCACTGCGACATGGCATTCTGCATGTTGAAGAGGTCGCATCTGTCGCAGATGTCTTCGTAGGCTTCTATGTATCGGAACTCGGTGTGGACTTCTGCGGCTGGGCTCGCCTCTGCGGCGGTGTCGTTGGGGGGAATCGCGGACTGGGGATCCATGGCGACTTAGGAAGTGAAACTAGATGTCTCACGTGTGTTACTAGTTGTAATGGTCGAAGTGTAATCGAGGTACAAGTTTGTAGATAAATTTCCGAAGTATATATACTTCTTCTCTGCCTTCTAGAAGACTTGTCCTGGAATGAAAAATGTGGGGACGCACAGCTGTTGCGCAGGGAAATGCCGACGTGATAGAGTTGTACTTTGGGGAGTTTGAGGGTTATGCACAACATACTCGTTGGGGCTTATAGTCTATTTATCATAATTGAAGGGAAATGAAGATTAGGCTTATTAGGCTTGGAGGGATATTCCAACACCTACAATGTCTCATGAACTGGGAATAAACCACACAGCCCCTGCCAACCATTCGGGTTTTGAACATTGTCTTTCAACCCTAACGGAACTTACAGTTGTTCCACTACTTCATCAATACAGTAACCAGTACTACTAACAACCATTCATTTAGTAGAGAAGTGACCGGCAGGTAGATCTAAGACTCCAGTAACCCTGGACACATACACCAGGTTACAAGAAAGATACTCGGGGGAAATGAATTGAAGTAGTGAGCTTAGTAAGAGAGAGAATTCGCTATAGTCAGCAAAAAGGGAGTATATACAGACCAAGCATGAGATCAAATCTCTCTATTGTCTAAATGGGAACTTCCCCTAAAGAAAATCCCGAACCATCATCACTATAATTCCTCTACGGAAACTGCCACATATAACAACTTTACACTTGTAGCAGTCACATACTTATTAGTTAAAGCTCCTTCTACATTACTTCTCCTGTTATTGAAGTAAATGCCACACATATCTGCCTAAGGCATCCATATAGAGGGAGGTAAAATGATTGATGGCAAATACCCTTTACCGCTTAACTGACCGCCAGAAGCGGCAGAACCTAGCGAACCTCGATCGAAAAACCTCGGATTTAGCGGGTTTTGGAAACATGCAGTTCCCAAATGCTCACCTGAAAATCTGTTGAAATCCCGGTGCGGTGTGGCAGGATTCTGGTGGCCTTAGTTCTGAGAGTGAAGGCAGATTTGTATACCGCTTTATACCGCCGTAGTGGGTCCTGGGTTTCTATGACTCGGGCGCTAAACCATATCCGGTACCCATGTCTGTATCTGCCCATCCCTCCCGTTAACTCTACATCAACTTCTATACTATCCAACCCATTTGAGTCTGACGACACAACAACCAATTATCCTCCTACATCAGCAATACAGGTTCCGACCCCGCAACTAATCTTCCAGGCACACTTTAGTCCTTTTCTCACAGTAGACAAGATGGCCGAGGGGTAAGGCACCGCTATCCAGGGTCATTTGACTGCGGTCCCGAAAGGGGATACCGCTCTTGTCCTGCTTGTGGCTGATTTCAACAAGCCATTCTCTCTTTTTTTTTTTTTTTTTTTTTTTTTAACTGACTTCCATGGGGGACATTGCTATATTTAGTGGGGTAAATACTATAAGAGGGATAAGGTAGGCGTATAAGAAGAGAAAAAAAAAATTTACTACATCTCGCATCTATAATCATTTTATGCATTCCTTCATTGACATCCGAATACCATGCAACTAGTCATCAGAAAATACTAACATCTAATAATCAGTTCGTCACATTTATCTATTTGTGGGCTGTAATCGTCCGTTAGCTATTCGTTTCTTTCCTCAGGAGAAATAAAAATGGTGGACTCACCAATACCCTCCTCAGCCTGAGGCTCAATGCCAACCACCTCCGCGGCGGGCTTGGTATCATGTGCAGTCTTGTCCTCCTTCATGAAGGGGAAGGCCAGAACCTCCTTGATGCTGTAGTTGTCCGTCAAGAACATGACCAGGCGGTCGATACCCATACCCCAACCACCAGTGGGCGGCAGGCCGTACTCCAAGCTGGTACAGAAGTTCTCGTCGATGATCTGCGCCTCGTCGTCACCCTGGTCCTTCTGGCGGGCCTGCTCCTCGAAACGCAGGCGCTGGTCGAACGGATCGTTCAACTCGGTGTAGGCGTTGACAATCTCCTTCTTGCAGACGAAAGCCTCGAAACGCTCGCACAGACCGACGTTCTTGCGGTGGTACTTGGCCAGAGGAGACATCATCTGGGGGTGGCCGGTGATGAAGGTGGGGTTGACGCAAGTCTCCTCGATGAACTCACCAACCAGCTTGTCGAGCATGCGAGCGTTGGTCATCGGGGGAGAGCACTCAACACCGGTCTTCTTAAGCACACGCTTGAGGAACTCGCCGGTCTCGGCGGTGTGGAGCTGGTCACCCGGAGGGAACTTCTCGCCAGTAGCCTCCTCAAGAGCGGGGATCATCTCCACGCGGCGCCAGGGGGCCTTCCAGTTGACGTTGTAGGTCTCGCCAGACTGAGTGTGGAAGGTGGTCTCGTAGCCACCGGTGATGTGCTTCACGAGACCGGAAACCAGCTCCTCGGTCAGGTTCATGACATCGTAAACATCGGCATAAGCCCAGTAGAACTCGCAAGTGGTGAATTCGGGGTTGTGGGTGAGGTCGATACCCTCGTTACGGAACTGACGACCAAGCTCGTACACACGCTCGAGACCACCGACGATCAGCATCTTCAGGTACAGCTCGGGAGCAACACGCATGAACAGGTTCATGTCGAGGTCGTTGTGGTGAGTAACGAAGGGCTTGGCGGTGGCACCACCAGCGATGGCGTTCATCATGGGAGTCTCAACCTCGACGAAGTCGCGGTTATCGAAGAAGTTGCGGACGTAGCGCACGATCTTGGAACGGGTGACGAAGACGTTACGGGACCTGTCGTTCATGATCAAGTCCAGGTAGCGCTGGCGGAAGCGCTGCTCCTTGTCTTGCAGACCGAAGTGCTCGGACGGGATGGCGTGCAAGCAAGGAGAAAGAAGGACCACCTCCGTAGCGAAGATGGACAGCTCACCGTCGGCACGGTTCTTGGGGCTGGTACGACCGGGAAAACCGACGATACCGACGATGTCACCACGGCGGAGGTGCTCGTGCTGAGCCTCGAAAGGCACGTCGCCAGTGGCGTGCTGAGCCTGAGCGACGACCTGGACCTTGACGCCCTCGGCGCGGATATCGTAGAAGATCAGCTTGGCGCCGGAAGCACGCTTGGTGTAGATACGACCGGCGATGCGGACAGCGACCTCAGGCTTCTGCTCGCCCTTGGCGAGACCCTCATAATCAGTGAGGTACTTGCGCAGATCGTCGGTGACCTGGAACTTGTGGGGGTAGGGGTCGGGGTTCTTGGTCTCGCGCAGCTTGTTGATTCTCTTGCTGCGGATCTCGAAGTATTGCTGTACAGAAATGAGCGGGGATGTTAGCAGAGATGCGACAATGAATCCCCCGACACCACACAAAGAAGCGCCCCCCAGCGACGAATGGGCAAAAAATGACTCACGTTGGGGGTGAGTTTGGCCTCCTCATCCTCGGCGGAGGTCTTCTTCTCGGCCTTGGGAGGAGCAGCGGCCTCCTTCTCCTTCTTCTTGGCCTCCTTCTCACGGTTCTTCTGGCGTCTCTTCAACTCGGACTTGGAGACCTTTTCGCCGGTCACCTCATCGAGGAGGAGGTTGGCCATGGAGGCCTCGGCCTCCTTAACAGCGTTGTTATCAGCCATGGTGATGGACGGGGGTAATTGCTCAGTCTCAATCACCGTGGGAACAAGACGATGAGAAGGGAAAGAAAGGTAAGTGGAGGGATCGATCGATGACACACAAGATGGTGGGCTGAAGTCGGAGGGAGCGAGAATTTTGGGCGGGAGTCGCCGCCCGCGATCCTCATTGGGCACCGCGAGGGGCAGCTTCCCCCCCGCCCAGCCAGTCCTTAAGTAATCGTCTGTTCTTTGGACTCGGCCTCCTGTTTATCATCATTGCGGAAATCTAGCAAAAAGTACCGAGTTTCCCCATTATTTTGCATTCTAGAGCTGTTAATCTTTCTATCTGACATCTCTCCTTTACCATTGGGTACACGCTGCCATACACCATTCGAGTCTATCGCAAGCAGGGTTTAGGGCTTAGGGCATCAAAGTGGGGTTCCATACCCCGCCTCGATGCTTGCGGTCAATCCCTCCATCATCCATCACTATTCCAGCTTCAACTGCATCTTTTTCCAGCATACCCACTCACTTAGTCCAGTTACCATCCTAATACATTTGATCACCAAAGTATATTCTGTTGTAACCACGCACTGCGGACAGGAAAATGCTCACAACACCTCGTCAAGCTGCAATCAAGTAGTCCAATCGTCGGGAGGCTGGGATTTAATCCTCACATTCTCGAATTGGTCTTCCTGATCATCCTCTTTCCTCGCTAGCTTTAGCCACTCCTGGGCTTTATCGATTCGCTCCTTTTCTCTGAGAAGGAATTGCCGGCGTCTCTGGCGGTCGGGGTCCTCCTCCATCAGCTCTAGGCAACGTTCCAGTGCTGAAGGCAAGAAAATATCTTAGTATATAACTCCTGATAGAATGAGTGAAACGTACCGTTTTCATCGAAGATACAAAGCTCTCTTTCGATCTCCTTGATGAGATCGTCACGGCATTTTGCGAACAATTTAGTGTGTACGCTCTGGCATATTGAATCAACGAACCGCGAACTCGCCAAGTCGTAGTACCCGCGACTCGTCTGGCCAGGGCAGTTAGTTTATAGTCGAGGCTTTGGCATGGGATCAACTTACCGCCATCATGGTCAGCTCCTGCGAGAACTGGTCGCGCCCCAGCTCGGCATCTGTAAGCTTTCGAAGCTCAGCTTCCCGTCGGGCGTCTCCTCTAGGGTACTTTCCCTGAGCATCAAGGTAGGACCCAGCACGAGCAAAACGCCGCCTCTCCGCAAGAAAGCTGTAAGCAGACTTGATTGACTGGTCCAATGCCGAAAGTGCCATGGTAAATGGTTTGTTATACTCAATGCTGAAGTTTTCCTGCGCATGCTCGAAATGAGCAGCTCGTAGCTTATACAAAAAGCTCTCAATGATTCGCTTGAGTTCTCGATAGAGACCCGTCTGATGATATTGCAGAAAGACTTCATTTAGCTGCCTGTGCAGCATCTCCCGGACAAGGCGATAGGTGGCAACCAGGAACACTGACAGGGGGTCGTACCAGTGCTTCACGCTCATCTGGTTCATGATCTCAATGGCTTTCGGGTCCGTTTGATCCGGCAGTCCAGCTCGATACGAATCCTCGTTTATTTCGCGAATCATCTCCCATGTAAACGTCAGGGCCGGAGCGTTGAACTTGGCGAAATGGTCTGTCCAGTACAATCCATTTCTGATCCCGGTTGTAGCTGGATTTGGCTGTTGTCTCGCTTCTGGTACGCTTGAGATATTTCCAGGCTCCCCTGGTGACTTGCGTTTGACTGGCTGCGGGACCGTTGTCATCTCACAGTCTGAATCGCTCCCCTCTGCATCGCGGTCCGTCGGGCCAGGGAACTTATCACTTGGAGAGAGCATTCTCACAGTGGGCCGAGTCGTAATCAGGGCTCGTTTGAAATCCATGGCAATATGCGACCATAACTTCGGCATGGGGTAAGTTGCTGACCCACCATCAATATGAGCGCGAATTTGCTCCTTCAGCTGGTTTAACTTTCCACAAATAATATATGGAACATTCGCAGAGGGCGGGTCTGGGAGAGTCCGGAGCTCATCCTCAATTCTCTCTGCTTTGGCATTAATCTTCTCAATAAAGTCCGGTAGACATCCTTGAATCTGCTCAAGAAGCAGAGAGGAGAGTGTCGCCTGTAAATTTCGGGTCCCAAACTTGTCTCGATAAAGAGCCAGATCAGTGGCCCAGGGCTCTCCCGCAAAAAAGGCTTCTTCCTCTTCCCGAGCGACGGAGTGCTCGACCGCGGGGTCGGGGTTGTTACGAACAACAAAGTAACCGTGGCCAAGCGAGAACTTGTCTCCTTCGAGTATTTCGATCCATTGAGCATAAGATTCTCCTGTCTGAATGCGATCGGGCTTGGTCAGAACACCCATTGCCCTTGCGTTTGCTCCAGAGGTGGTTTGTACGATCCTTGCAGCGCTTGAATTTGTGGCATCATTCGTCATCGGCAACGTCAGTAAAACTATACAGTGCTTCTGCAAAATGTAATGCTTGACAAGGTTCTCGACCAGATGAACAAGATAGCGTTCTTCTTCCTGCTCAGCTTGGCTGATAACACCGGGCAAGTCATAGAATGATAAGTTAGGAAAACCCGGCGCAGCAATGTCCAAGCGCACGACGTTGGGTGAGAATTTCACTTGACAATAATCAGGATCTGTTTCACTGTTTTGCCCGAGCAAATATTCGCTGGAAGGTCTGCCTGGGTTCAAAATGGCGAGCTGCGCCCATCTAATCACTTCGACGAGGTCGAGCTTGTCTGTTAGTGTTGTGAAAAGCTCGTCTTCTTGTTGTTCTTGCTCCAGCCAAGGCCCGAGGGACTGAGACTTCTTCGAAATCTTACCGATCTTCTTAGAGGCATCATACATGTACTTCCGCGACAAGAAGACCTTGCAAGTCCAGGGCTGGTCAGGCTCCCCCTCACAGAGATTGATCTCCATTGGACATCTGGTGCATGTTCCCGCGCTTCGTGGCACCTTGATCTCGCTCATTCCCTCGATCAAAGAGCTTTTCCCGGCACTCTGGTCACCAATGACGCAGATTTTTGGTAGCACAATCATCTTGTCCTCAATTCCGATGTGGCGTAGGTCCTGGATTTTCCGGACAAGCTCCTTCATGTCGCTGGCAATCAGATCTATCGAGTCCACATCGAGGGCTTCGGGGGGAGCCATCTTGCTAGCCTGGGAGACAGCTAAGAAGGTGTAAGTGATGGTTGAAAGTTAAATCGGTCAGTAGGACTCACTGGGAGGTATACTTTCTCGTTCAGCCGTCTGGTTGCTGAATGGGGTCCGTCGTATCTCCAGGGTGAGTAATGACATATACCGTTCGTAGGAGCCTAGGAGATTAGAGACTTGATGGGATCGAAAGAGCGTGAGTGAAGTGAGAAACAGAGAGTTACAATGAGACGAGAAGAATCTCAGACTAATGGAGAAAACTGTGCTATTGAAAGCCTGGCTGTGTGATAGGAGTACAGAAGTTTTGAACAGACAAAGTTTGGTTGAGAAGAAAGAAGAGATTTGACGTTGGGAGGGGAGTGTTATGAAGCACTTTTTTTCCAGTGAATGGTAGGGGGCAAAGGAGGTTTTGAGTCCAAGCGAGAACTAGAGATGCAGGCCATGATCAATTTACCAACAGAAATATAGAGTGAATGGATGTGTAAACACGGCAAAAATAGAGTGAGATCTATAGAAAGATTGTGCCAGAGAGGTCAATTTAACATCTGCAGGAACCCTGACAGCAGCATGAAACGAAGCCAAATCGGGAAGATTGCTGTGTTGTCGGACATGATTGGAGGACTGGGTTAGTATCGAGAAGCAGCCACTGTTTGAAAAAAAGTATGTGATGATGTCGGAGCTGCAAGTGAGTTGATCTATCCTTTTTCAATGAATTACGCTCCCAACCCAGTAAGCTATAAGTAATATGATAGTACTCCGTACACCGTAGTACCAAAGGTGAGGAAGTAAGTAGATAGATGGAGAGAGATCATGGTCCCAAGAAAAGTGGAAACCCCAGGCTGAAAGCGGTGGAGAGGAGTCAGCCAGTCAGGTGCCGCCAGCCAACCAATGGCACCTGAATCCATTAATTCAGTCCCGTGTCACTCTCTCAGGCTCTCTCTTTCTCCTGACCTGTTCCGGAGAGCGCTAAGACTTAAGGAGAGCTGGCGGTGGGCCTGGACAACAACTTACTGCTCGCTCCCCCTCGGCCTTGTCCTGCGTCTTTTCCCCTCGTTCCTTTTCCCAAAATCTTTACGGATTCTAATCTATCAATTTGTCTGTGCTCGAGATTTGGCCTCAGTTTTCATTCCTGAACACCAACCCCCACTTATATACCCCCCACCTTTCCAATGCTTCAAGTTCCAGTGCGGGAGCACACCAACGTGGCCTCCACCAAGGCTGTGATCTTGGTATGTGACGCTAGTGACTTCTGCCTCCTGTATCAATCTTGCTGACGGAATTTTGCCTTACTTAGGTCGGAGGTCCGTCTAGAGGAACGCGCTTCAGGCCTCTGTCCCTTGACATGCCCAAGGTTGGTTGCCCCTCTCTGCCTTAGCTATCCCGCAATTCATGAACCCCTCCGCACCAACCCTCGATTTCGTCACCCGCAAGCTTTGTCGCCGCTACTCACAACTTGGATTCCTTGTTAGCCCCTCTTTGAAGTCGCCGGTCATCCTATAATCCACCATTGCCTGAAAGCTCTCGCCAAGATCCCCGATATTCGTGAGGTCATCCTCGTCGGCTACTACGATGAAACTGTCTTCCGCGACTTCATTAAGGACTCCGCCAAGGAGTTCCCTCAGTTCAAGATGCAATACTTGCGTGAATATACGGCTCTGGGCACCGCTGGCGGTCTCTACCATTTCCGCGATGCCATCCTGAAGGGCAAGCCCGAGCGCATCTTCGTCCTCAACGCTGACGTCTGCTGCTCCTTCCCCCTTGGCGAGATGCTCAAGCTGTTCGAGGAGAAGGATGCGGAGGCCGTCATCCTCGGAACAAGAGTCAACAACGATGCCGCCACCAACTTCGGTTGCATTGTTTCCGATTCCCATACCAGACGGGTTCTGCACTACGTTGAGAAGCCTGAGTCGCACATCTCCAACCTCATCAACTGCGGTGTCTACCTCTTCGCCACCGAGTGCATTTTCCCCTCCATCCGCAGTGCTATCAAGCGCCGTACCACCCGCCCTCGCCTGCTGTCATACCCTTCGTCCGAGAACTTGGAGTCCTCTTTCATCGCAGCGGAGGACGAGGCAGAGAAGAGCGAAGTCCTTCGTCTGGAACAGGATATCCTCTCCGATCTGGCCGACAGCAACCGTTTCTTCGTCCACGAGACGAAAGATTTCTGGCGCCAGATCAAGACGGCCGGTTCCGCCGTCCCCGCCAACGCCCTTTACCTCCAGAAGGCCTTCCAGGCCGGATCTGACGAACTGACCCCTCCTTCCGCTGCCATCGTGCCCCCAGTCTACATCCACCCCTCCGCAACAGTGGACCCGACAGCGAAGTTGGGCCCCAACGTTTCCATTGGACCCCGTGTGGTCGTGGGCGCAGGCGCTCGTATCAAGGACTCGATCGTGTTGGAAGACGCCGAAATCAAGCACGATGCATGCGTGATGCATTCGATCATCGGCTGGAGCAGCCGCGTTGGTGCCTGGGCCCGTGTTGAGGGTACCCCGATCCCCACGGGCAGCCACTCGACCAGCATTGTCAAGCACGGCATCAAGGTCCAAAGCATCACTATCCTGGGCAAGGAGTGTGCCGTGGGTGACGAGGTACGGGTACAGAACTGTGTGTGCCTGCCGTTTAAGGAATTGAAGCGCGTATGTAACCCCATCCATCCACATCATCTCGAAACATGAGGCTAACAATATTCCCAGGACGTCGCCAACGAAGTTATCATGTAAAAGGAACATGTGACGTTTTTGGATGTGACATGCATATTATGTGATATCTGTTCTCTTTCCCTCTATCCTTGGTCCCTTTGACCATTCTGGCTACCCCCTTGTTGGCGGTCGGATTGCCGAAACTACGTGCTTAGATCTAGCTCCAACCTAGAAACGGACCATGAATGAATTAATCATGTGTCCGTGGACATCTCCCAATTAATATGCTAATATCTGTTCATAGCTGGATTATCGGCCAAGTACTTGCTATAAGGCATTCAGGTATCTAATGCTAAGCTATCCAAGTCATATAACAACCAGATCAAATGGCATTATCGCTGAAGACAAATAAAAGAAGAGTAAAAAATTCCTGCATTACGCCCGCCAGTATATGAGCCTATTCAAAAGTCAAGGAACTATACCCATTTTACAATGCAAGATCGTAACACATCAGTTCAGTTTGAAGGGCATGAAAAAGCCAAGATAAGCTGACTTGGCTCTCACGCAGAGACAACACGCAGATGATCGTCCCAACAGGGTCGCGTGACCGTTCTGCATTCGTGGAACGCGTACACCCAACCCCTACACAACCATTCACCGATACGCAGCCGGATCATAACTCGTCTGCTCCGTTGGCTGACTATAACCCGCAGTACCCCCGTAAGCACTAAACCTCACCCTTGGCTTCCGACGTCCCTGCACCGGAGCCGCATCGGAGTACTCCTCCGCCTCATCGGCATGGTGCTGCTCCAACGAGCCAGCCCCATACGCAGGAGGGGGCGGCATACGCTGGCTGGGATGGTACAACGGCTCCGGGGCGTGCTGGTACAGGGGTTCTTGTTGGGGGTGATTGGCGTAATAGGGGTGGTCGGCCTCATCGGGCGGGTAGGGACCAACGCCGCCGGACATGATGCTGCTGTCGCGGTTGTGCATCTTGTAGTCGTTGAGAGCGGTGCTGCTGGCCATGGGGTCGTACTGGCCCAGGCGGGTTTGGCGGCGGTAGACGATGACGTCCAGAGCGGCGGCGGCGATGTGGGATGTCGCAGCGACGATGGTGAAGGTGAAGAGGGCCTTGTAGATCCTGCAGACGCTGATGCCGGTCGAAGTGCCCCAGTAGGTTGCGTTGCAGGTCGTTAGGATGGTGTGGGACATGCTCCAGCTTAGGAGGCCGAGGGCGATGAGCCAGAGGACAAGGACGATGCTGTTGGTGACGAGGTTGAGGCGCGGAGAGAGGCCATAGCAGCAGTGGGTTAGGGTGGTGAGGATATAGTTTAGGAGGGAGAAGACGGTGGCTATGAGGAGCTGATGAGTTGAGATGGGTGTTAGTGGAGTGTATAACAGAGATGGTGGGTAATGTGGTTGCCTTACGATTAAGAAAGCCCACGGGAGCTTGTAGTTGTTGCTATGCAGTTGGTTGATGAATACGGCCAAGATAATGCCCACAATGAAGGTGGAAATCAGGCCGAACAAGCGAATGGTATGGAATGGAATCGGGGGGTATTGGGATGGCTTGACTGATGCTCTGGACCGCATGTTGGCGATGCGCTGGGATGAAGCTTATCCCAATCGCGGCGGGTGTGGGTGTGGGGTGGAATGAGATCGAGAATCCAAGTCGTCGATAAGCAATTAAGATGTCGATCCGCTGCGATATGATTGCAGCGCGATAGATGTTGAGATATTCTCATGTACCAAATGGATGGAGGAAGGAAGATAAACAAAAAGTAAGGGAAAATGAGAGATGACAACAAACAGGAGAAAAGTCAAAAGGCAAACGGACGAGAGTTGCCATGCAAAGAGCAAAGCCTCGCTGTGGTGGACGATCGCGACTCCACTGCGGGTGTTGCTAAAGAAAGAAGCGGTTCGGGGGAGGGTGACGCCGCTGCTGATGAATCTGCCCCGGTAACTGTGCGTGGCTCGCGGTTGGCGTCTCACCTGTGGGCCAGTGTGAAGTTTAACTTGTTCTCCAGCCTCCCCCAGGCCACCCGGTAATCTAACGTGATAGTGATGCTGATACTGATACTGATGCTCCTTTTAATGATTGTTAGCCTGGTATGAGTTTATTTTGGTGTGGTTGTGGAGGACAGTTGACACGTGCCTGACATCTGCCCAATTGGTCCATGGATCCACCCAGGAACCAGTGGGCATCTTCACTACTACTATTACTACTTACTACACCATGTTATCTATGAATAGACCATGCGTGATCTTGAATCCACTTGTTCATGAAAGCAGGATGCTAGAGCTTTATAGATGCAAAATGTTTTGTTTTTAAACTCATTGATGAATCACTTAGTATGTTTCATGGTTACTAGTTGGGGATAACAATACTAATGAGAAGCTCTCCACATCAAGCTACCAACAGTAGCTCCCAAATTTATTGAAAGAACTGTTAATGCTCTAATCTAGCTGCTTCGTGTCATTTTTTTAGGTACTCCCTCACAATACACACCTGCGGGATGCCGCCACTTCACGGCATCGTGGATACAGCATTCGTATCGATCTAAAGTTCTCTGCAATGGTTGTTTCTATGCAGAGTACGGTGTCAAGTCAACTCCATTCTATCTTTTCAGGTCTCGGAGATATTGAGCAACATCAGAACACTAGGACACTTTTCGCTCCCACAGTGAGAAGACGTGTCGCCGTCTAGGGCGAGCCCAATGGAGGCAGTCCCTACACTGAACTTGTTCAACTGCTAGCCATCCGAGTATGCTGTCTGGCATTTGCAGAGATTTTCTGGGGCGATTGTCAAGGTGGAAGTGGATTTGACGCTCTGGTATACTCGAGGCTTTCCTCAAGTTCAAGGGCGATTCTTTTCAGTCCAGAGTGACAGAGACGGTCTAGAGCTAGCCTTTGAAACTGACGGCCTTCTACATTCTTGCCCAAACCCCCGTCTGTCACTATTATATACCCGAGACGGTCCATTTGGGCGAAATAAATACTACTAGATCATGAGGTTCAAGCACGCATCAAACAGCGCAGGGAATACAATCTTGGCCCTGTCTTGTGACACATTCGTGGCATCCTCTCTCAACCGTCCGATTTCGATTGGTCCACTATACTATTGGGGTATGAGGAAGTTACATTGTATGCCGGTTATATCATCATGCAATCATTAGGCGCTTTGCGCGGATCTGGCATTGGAAAGCAAAGAAACAATAAGGCGGGCTTTATAGCAGCTGCAGGTGAAGTGGAGGGTGCATGTGATGATCTCATCTGGCACCAGAATGGTCCGTGCACCGGTAGTGCCATACTTGACCGCCTGTTCGCCGGTCGGCGCCAACCGATGCAGTAAACATGTCCTTACTTTCTATAATTCACTCTTCGTCTCCTCGTCTTCAGAACATTACCCTCACAAGCATGGAGTGTCTTCGTTAACCTCAACCATCCTGGGTCTATCCCACCAACACCAATCATCTCTAACTCTTAATCGGCTTCTCGTGATAGACAGACGAAGATGCCGCCGCCCCGCCGCAAGAAGCCCCTTTCGCTAAGGATTCGACAATGGATTCATCGGCTTCGCACATGGCGCTCGCCGTTAAACCTACGCGGCAGCCTGACAAGACTACGGGCATTTGAGAGACACCCGGTCTGGGCTCTGGTACGCCTTTTTATCCCGTTCCCTTCGTGGAAATTTCCCGTGTCCGACATTATGCCGGCGGCGGAAATGATCGGAAACGAAGAATTGCTTCTTCTTCGCCACGACAATATGATCGACCTGGAGAGCATACCGATTTGGCGCGTTCGCGATACCCCCTTGAGATGTTTGTATAGAATGTACGAAGCTATGGCATCTGGTGTATACGAGGTTTTAGGCACCGAAACTGAATACTTTTGGTATCAGAAGGGGTGGTCATTACAGTCGATCAGCGACCCCAGGGACGAAGATCCCGTGCGCTATGCCATCATCGCATGTCTCGTTGAGGAACTTGTCGTTGCGTTTAATTGGCGTCTAAGTCTAGGAATGCGTCGGAACCGCAAGCACATCATCCGAAAGACGGAAGACGACCCGTGGCCCCCGTATACACCGCTGATAGGTCCTGCATGGACGGGCTCTGTTCCGGCGCTCTCGGCCAGCGACTTGGACGGATTACCCGGACGTTACATATTGGAAGGAAAACTCGTCTTAGAGGACGGCGGATTGAATAAAATCTTCGCGCGCCGCAACATCATTACGAATGTTGGCTGGCTTTATACGATCTGAACCGCAAGCCCTACGCTACCACGTTTTTTGTCTCGAAAGTAAGGGGACCATCCGCTTCACCATCTGGCGGTGTGCACGTAACTCCTTGCCAAGTACAGTCGAGAGTTCATAGCGAGCCCATTGCGCAACCCGACTGTCTGCGACAGCCTTTCAAACTACTTGGACCTGAATCATGCCGCACTTGGAGCAATTACTCAACTCCCACCTGCAAGGGACTGAGATGGCTTCAAAGAAACACATCCTCGCCATAGGTTGCCTTGTAAGCAGCAGCCACACAGTTCATGGTCTCGACGTCTGGCATGACGTCAAAGCCATTCTTGTTCAGTGTGCGACAGTACTCCTTATCCAGCTTACCCCCCTTCCTCTCTTTCATGAACTTGAGCATTGCAACAGCATCGGCCAGATCAAGCTCCGCTTTGCGCCCCCTCTCCGCACAGTAGATGCGGCGCAACTTCCGCTCCAGCGCCCATTCCACAGGTGCTGCAAATACGAGCAGGGTGCCACTGGCCCAGAGGACAATATTTTGCTTGATGGCGTCCTCCATCAGGATCTTCCGCGTCTTCTCTGTAACGAACACTCCCACATCTTCGTTGGCCCAGTCCTCCATGTAGTGAGCCTCATTGGCGACTTCCCGGATGGACTTTTGCAACGGAACCTTGATATCCTCATCGTTGGCCCACTCTGGGTCAAGCAGGAAGTCCATGTCCGTAGTTGTCTTTCTGTTCTTCAGGTACATCACAGAGAAAAAGCCCCCTGCCACGATCATCCGGATGGGAGCGAAGGCCATGATCATGGGATCCGTGCCGAGTTTGGCATCCAACAATCTCAACGCTAGGAGCGCGTTATGGATTAGAAACTTTCGCTAGCCCCTGAGGTAGCACCGCGAAGAACTTACCTTTATGAAAGTCCTCCATGTCCAAATACACCTTGCGCTTCGTCATGATTGCGCGCAGAACGGTGCTAGGACCGTTTTCTGTGGACTTGGGAGGGCAGCCGTGGTGCAATGCATGAACGGGGGGATGTTTGTGTTGGTCCTTTGACGGAGAACCTTGGGCGGGTTTGGGGGGTCCCGCACCGAGATTCTGGGGTCAAAGCTGGAGGAGGGAGGGGGAGGATCTCTTCCCTTTTAAATAAAATCACTGGAACTGGCACACGGGCCGGGTTGCTTATGTCAGGTTCGTCAGGGTTGAAGTGAAGCTGGGCTTGAATGGCATTCACGATGTTGCCCTATCTCTCGCCAGGTCCCATATTGGGCTGTCTCCTGCATTTGCCTCGCATTAGTTGACACTTGTCGACTGCTTGCTCGAAGGTCGCTCGAGGACCCCGCCAAGCTGGTGAGGCGTCGAATTCCACATACCGCATCTAGACCGATCTGCGTCGGATACGTGGGTGATGCTGGATCACTGTGTATAATTCTGAACTTTTCTTTGCTATATATCACTTGTATAGTCCAGGTTAGCGTGGGTTGCTACGCTGTACATTATAGGATATCCATCAATGTATTATAGAACGTGTACAATGAATTCGTGGATGTCTTGGTCGTGGATGCCATCAATCTCAATGCTTAACATAGACCTGGAATAAATTATTTATAATTTTCTTATCATATAGACTGTGACTTGAGTCATTAGCAGTCCAAATTCATAGCGGTCAGCACACCATCACCAGTAGCGTGATAAGCCCCGTCCCCCGAGGATTTCTCCGCAGCCGAAACTGCAAAAACGCGTTATCGGGCTGCTGCCTCCGCATCGCCCTTGATACTTGAACACCTCTCTCTTCCGTCATCCTACACCTGGTACCTTTTTCCACATTCTCACAAACAACACCAATCCTTTTCCTCCAGTTACTCCATCAACAACTCAGCACCATCTCCCACCGGGATCCAACCCATACATAACTGACTATTACCCCTCACCCACCCCGCGCCAGCACCAACACCAACACCACCACCACCATGTCCACCTACGAAGGTACCTCTACCATCACACCTCCAAAACCCAATACTAACAACTAAATAAAACCAAAACAGTGGAACACAACACCACCGACCCCTCCACCACAACCCCCACCAACAACAACAACAACAACAACAACACCAGCACAACCCCCTCCAACCCGCACCGCCACCGTCGTCCCGACCTCTCAACCTTCTTCTCCGCCCTCTCAGAAATCACCCCGGACGAAGCGCGCCATCGTCCCCATGCGGTCCCCGTCCCCCGAGACGTCAGCGCCGCATTCTATTCCCTAGCGGAGGCATTGGACGTGATGCGCCGCGACGGCGGCGGCGGCGGCAGCGGCAGCGGAGCAGCTATCCCCAGCGCGATCGGAGAAGTGGAAGGCGGCGACGAGAACGACCTCCTCACAACGATGATTCAGAGTCTGCTTAGCACGGCGGAAATGCCTCCTAGGGAGGTGGAGGGCGCGAGTGAGGAGTTTTGTGATAGTGCGTGGATACCCCCCGTTTCCCCCATCCGTTTTCCCAACAACTTCGGGTGTTTGATATAAATTGGTTTTGGTTTGGCTAACTGTTTACTTGGTGGGTTGTGTAGTGCTTGATCGCGTCCCCCGCACGCAATTGAACTCTTCTCAGGTCTGCCCGATATGCAATAACCCGTTTCTGGAGGATCAGTACCCGCTTGTGGTGAGGTTGCCGTGTCATCCGACGCATTTATTTGATTTGGAGTGCGTGAGGCCGTGGTTGAGGCTTAGGGGGACTTGTCCGCTTGATCGGACGGATTTCGCCAAGCAGGAGAGGGAGAAGGTTGAGGCGAGGAGGAAGTTGGCGGAGGAGGATGAGGAGGAGGAGTGGGATGGGATGTATGCTTGATTTGTTGTCTCATTCTTTTATTCGAAGGGACTGTTGAGTTGGGGGTAAGGCTTGAATTTGGGAGGTATAATGAGGTATGTGAGAGTGGTTTGTATGGAGTTGGGGTTGGGTTGGTGAGGAAGCGAAATGCGTGCATATAGTTTTGGGTATGGCATAGTGATATCTATTTACTGTATGTAGTGTATATCTTTGTACATGTTCACGTTATGAAAGAATGGCGATGATGCTACCGCTTGTCTGCTCAATCCTTTGTGCGGATGGCCAGTTTGCCTGCCTTGTCGATGACTGCCTCCAGTCCGCTACGTTCCAACATCCCTGCATCATCCTTCACCACTTCCCGCGCTTCGAGCTCCTCGACCATCTTCTGGTTCTCGCGGTTGCCCTCCAGTAGGAACTTCAGGCACATGACGGCGTGTTCCTTGATGTAGGGGTTGTGCGCATCAAAGTTGGTGCAGGACAGGATAGTCTCGACACCACCGTAGCGACGAATTTGGTCTTGCACCTCGGGGCACTTCCATACAAGAGACGACAGAACAAGCACGACGAGTTTCTTGAGGTTGCGCCATTCAAACTCGGACGGATCTTCGGTGATTGGCGGTGATTCGGCCCGAGAGCCGGGGGCATCAATCGGGTCCGGGTCACCGGGATCGTATGGGCGCTCAACTGCAACCGGCGCGGGAGCCGTGTGCTGGGGCTCCTTGGAGGGGTTGTTGTGTCCCAGGTTGAGCGCGCTCAGCTGACCCTTGGGAATGCTGGCTTCGAGCTCCTTGATTAACGTGACTAGGTCGTAGACAATCTCCCACTTGACCAACAGATTCTTCCAGTCGTTGTTCTCTGTGAGCACAGCAAAGAACTCGAGGAACTGGTAAACACCCTCATAGACCCGCTCCATGTCCCACAGATTCAGTGGGAAGTCCTCAGGCAAAGCCCGCCCAGCTCGGATCTGGCCCTGCAGGTAGATCAAAGCGCAAGTTTCGGGAATGATGTTGCCGCGGAAGATCGTGAAGATGTACCGGACAGTAAGGATGTCAACTCTAGAAAGCGGGGCCGGGTTCTTAGTCGCTGTTCCGTTGGGCTGGGTTGATCCTGTAACCGACGCAGGGGAGTACTTGGCTCGGAAGATATGCGTGAGAATCTTGACAACCACTGCCTGCGCGGGCGAAATGATGTCCTTGGGTTGGCCGAAATCGGAGTATGCATGAGACATCAAACCATTTCTCAAGACCGCGTCCATAATCTGAACCATCATCTTGAAGTAGAGTTCGTCGTCAGGGAGATCCCAGGCAGCGATGAAGATCAACAGCTCGCGAAGCAGGTTCCTACCCGTCTCCTGAGTGAGCAAAATGTGACATCTGAGGGCCTGCATATTCCTCGAACCACTTCTCTCCCCACCCTTCAAGCCGAAACTATCCACGATACCAGCCTGGATGATCATTGGCAGTGCCTCGATCTCTGCCGGGCCCAGTACGAGTGGAATATCAGTCAGGAGACCCCGCTGTTGGTCGCCTGGCCGGCCACGATAGTCGTCGTCATCCTCGTCGTCCTCTTCCTCTTCTTCCTCCATACTTCCGTCTGCAACAGCCTCCAAGCTTCGCGAGTCATCGTCACCGACCGTGCCTGCATCACCAGTGTCGTAGTCCTGATCACCGTCGCCAATCTGCGAGCTCTCCTGCAACCGGGCCATCAGCTCGTCTTTAGCCTCCTGCAGGGTTTCTGCCGCTGACTGTGCTGAACGCGGCATGCTCATATCTTCCTCCATCACAGTCGCATCGCCACCCGAAAGCGCACCGTAATCTCCAAGATCGGGAAGATCGGTCCAGCAGACACGTGGGAATCCAGCCGTTGCGCTGCGATCAATCGTGACAATCGCTTTCTTGCGAGGCGGCTCATCTTCTGGCAGAGCAGGAGGTAGGTCCTTAGCCCTGTCCTGGAGATCAGACCATCCATCAACCTTTGCACCGAGTATGGCGGTAAGAGCGGCGCGAATCTCCTTCACCTGTTCTGGATCCTTCCCCATTTCCTGTATGGCAGTCAAATCGCGTCCAAGCAGCTTTTCCATGTGATCCTTGATGTTAGCAAGAAGTAACATGGCTGCCTCTTCCTTGATGGTGGCAGGCTCTCTCGGGAAGTTTGAGATGGTTTCCAAGAGCAGATCCTCTGCGGTTTGGTCGTAAAGAGCCCTTATCGGGGGATTTACTATCCTCTCTCCGGTCTTTACGATAGGCGCCATTCCTTCCTGCTGACTGCAAGCGGGGTCAAGGGGCTCCCTGGGCTGGATAATGTTCGAGTCGCCCGTTGAGTGGTACCCAAACAAATCTAACCATAGCACCATCTTGCGTTGTTCGTTGTGCATGATGAAATTATGCAAGAACTGCAAGCAAGTGATAAGAAGGCGCTTGTAAAGGTTGACAACCTTTTGCCAGCGCTCTTCGTTCCTTGCATTCGTCTCCCCGTCAAACCCTCGCGCGGTTACTCTAACGCAAGTATCTACCAGGGCTAAGATTCTCTGATCGAAACCTTTCTCCGCCGCCATGTTCTGCGCCTTCTTCGTGGTGGCGAGGAGGTTACGGGCAATCGTACAGAGATCATTTAGGCGCTCAATGTCCTTGACTAGCGAAAAGTAATTGTAGGCTATTAGGTTGGAAGAGGAGTGATCGTAATTTGCCGTCGGGGGGCTCTTCCATGCAAACGATTGGGATTCGAGGACCGGGATCGCCTTCGTCAGTACGTCTGTGAAGCCTTGCCAGATATCCGGTGATAGGCCAAGGTTATGTCTGTTACACGAGAAAATGGTCAGTATGCAGGAGTAGAAGTAGGTGGCGGAGAGACGGTGGGCCACTGGACAGTGACTCCGATTTAAGACAAGAGAAAAACATCGTCGTACCTGACATCGCTCTCCTGGTGTGTCTTGTATAGAATCTGCTTCCCGGCAGAGAGCATGTGTTCTAAGCGTTTGTCGTCAATCATCCCGCGGGTTTCGTAGTGGCTCAAGGTCCCCGTCAAAATGACCTTCAACATGAGCTCCGCGGGGGTGCATTTCGGCTTGATTTCCGCTGCCGTGCGGTCGGCCATTTTTGACGATGCTTGTGAAGATTCGTAGCACAAGCTGCTATCCAGCGTTGACCGCGCAATGTATAGTCGGGAGGGGTGTGGGAATAACGACAATGAGGGACGCTCGGTGGAGAAAGAATCATTGAACCGTCGAGGGGAATTTTTCCGGCTCCGTCCCGGCAACTGCCTTTTCGGGTAACCTTACAAGGTACATGCACGAGGGCCAGTGAATGTGAAGCATTCTTATTCAGCGAGTCATAATTTATATACATAGTGATGTTAGCAAAATATCTACTTAGACCACCTTCGGTCGAACGGCTAAACCCAAGACATGACGCAGATTGTTCCAGAATCCCAGATCATAGATGTTGTCAATCTCCTTCATACTTTGCACCTGAACCCACCTCCGGTCGATTGGTGCATCCCTGTTGCTCGGCTGCTTGATCTCATTGGAATCCCGCGATAGCAAGCATCCTTCCTTAGGCGGCTCACCATCGGTCAGTATGAGTACCTGATCACTACTCACTGGCCAAAAGGACTGAGCACTCTGGTACTCGGCCAACAAGGGTGAGCTGCCATAGATCTCGGCCTTGCTAGATTTGTAAGCCATGCCATCTGCAACCTCTTCTTTCCAGTCTGACCACTTTGAGCTTTCGTTGGTTGTCATACCAGCCCAGATCAAGTAGGTGTGGTACACCATAAAGGCTGCCGCCAATGGGGCTGTCATGGTCATCAGCAGGGTAATAGCACCAATGCGAATATCGGCAGCGATAACTACAGCCCATATGTTGCAAAATCCAGTCCAGGTTTGCCGAGTCGTCCGCAAAGGTGAGCCCGGTGGTATCAGTCTGTCGTATGTTTGATACAGGAGAGTGTAGCCCAGACATGAGCCGTAGATCAGCATGAGACATAGTGACAAGATCATGGAGAGAAAATAGTGGTAGTTGTGTAGTCCGACACAGTTCATGAGCCAAACGCAGTGATGGTCATGCCGTGCAACGCAAGCTTTGCAGATGCTGCAGTGTTTACTTCGTGCCGGCTTGACAATATGACATGTGCGACAACGCTGTCCTGGGTGAAATATGACCTTATCGTATGGATAGCGTTCCATTTCACCTGTGTAATTCTTTGGGGTGATGAATGACTTGGTGGTAACGCTTGCATACAGCAAAACGTAGGGCATGGTGGCAATGATCGGAATCCATATATGGTGGATTGTGGAGATCCTAGGCCAAGCAGTTGGGATGAACATACATTGCCCTGCAATCATAAGGGAAGAGAAGAATATCTAATATTCAATGTTAGAGGACGCCGTTGGATATCAGACACATGGACTAACAAGGATCAACGGGTGATTTTCGTGCAGAATGTAACTACCAGAACAAGACCAGCAGTGAGACAGCCAGCCATTCAGTAGCCAACTGTCAAGGTAAAGAAGCCCATTAGGGATGTGTATCCAAAGAGCCCTATACAGCCAACCAATGGGAGTTTTGCTACAGGAAGCATCGATCAGTCACTGCCCTTACAACGAAATGCTGCAGCCTACCGAAACGCAGGGAGTCTCCCGAATAGCGCCACGAAAACAAACCCAGAGATCCCAAGGATCACAAGTGCAATATTTCTTATGGCTCCCATCGTTAATAGGTTTTTGATGGTATCTTTGGGAAATTTCTTTCGGACCAGTCTGTTGTCTCCCTCGCCTTGTTAGTATGGGGCAAAATCGTAGTGGGAACAGTAATGCAAGTCAGAGCTATGAAAAGAGGATAATGCCACCCTGTCGCTTAGACCAGAGCTGGCATTATCAGTTGACAGGCTTTGGCGCGCCTGCTTGCAACCACTATCGCCATGTTGCTGAAGCTGCCGCCCAAGTGTCCACCGGGTATTTATTTTCGAGTAACAAACACGTGACTTAATTGCCTAAAGGGGAAGAAATGAGCGTTACTACTGGACATCATGGTTTGGATCCATTCAGATTAACCTTACCTGTGGTCTCGTCCTTCACATTGATTGTGACCTGGCTTTTTGCATAAAATTTATATCGATGACGCTAGTCCTCTTTCTGAATAATCGATACCTTCACATGCTCACTCTATCTGTGGTTTAACTTCCTTGACGCGCGGACACGTGAACACGTGATAACGTGTTTCTGTATACCTGCGGGTCTACAACTGAAAACATTCGCGCTTTTGACCTGACGATTGAAATGACTGAAACGAGCATTACAGGAGATAGTGGTGTATCAAGAGAGGCAGCAACGCCCCTTTTTCAAGGGAAGCAGTTCTGGTTGTCTCACAACATCCCCCAAAGGAGATGGTTCAAGGAATTGATTGAGGTACTACAACTATGCATCACTAGTATGAACGCGTGACTGATTTATCTATGGAAAAACGGCGGTACTATACGGCTGCTAGAGAAGGATGCAGATATCAGATTGGTTGATCATAAGAGAAAGAACTTACCCTCTGACACGTGAGGCTTCCTCCCATTTCCATCCTTGACTAACTTGTGTAATCGCATCGCTGGAAACTAGCGCATACTATTTCAGGCTTCTGTCATCCAGTGGACACTTACAAGTTATAGGTACTCTTTCAAATATGTCGAAGACTCACACCGCCGGGGAAAGCTACAGAATCTAGAGAATTATAGAGCTGGGCCTTCTGAAGCACGCCCCGTAGGGGCTACCAACATTCCCACCAGAGGCCATAAGATCCCCTATACTCTTGAAGATGACCAGTTGCTCTGGGATTGGATGCAACCCCACGAGAGAAACCCCAAGGCTACCATTAGAGGCAATAAGATCTATCAAGAGCTAGCCGAGAAGGTATCAAGAGCCACCTCTAAGCTGTGAAGATACAAGCGTACTAAGTGTCATTTACTAGCATCCAAGGCACACGTATCAATCATATCGGGATCGGTACCTCAAAAGGCTCAAGGGGCATCCACGCCCTGGTGGCATGCCAGATTCAACAGATCAACCTGCACCTGACGAGCCCTCCGACTCAGCCACTCGCGCGGTCCAGTCTGAGCCTCGAGGAGGGTCTGCACAAGGGGCTGAATCTACTGCCATCCAATCAAATGACAAGAAAAGGAAACGGGCTTCTGAGGATACTCCTGATGAGGACAATGTAGACAACCCTAACAAGCCCAGTCAGAAGAAACGAGCTACCGAAATCAATATCAACCTTCCAGACCCTTTCATCTCCGAACCTCAGACAAAAGTGGCTGCAGTATCACATTCAGCGACAGCATCCAACGGCCAGAGACCAACTCTTGGGGCAACGGAGGCGAGAGAACGTGGGGCCACTCAGGAATCAAAGGCCCCAGCTAAGGAGCCACACCAGCCTTCACAGCCAGACCCTTTGTTTCTAGAGCTCCCATTCTTGCCTTCGGATGATGATCCTGAAGACGAAGATATGGAGCAGGATATCGATGCATGGATCGATGAACGACTTCATACTGGAAAGGCTCAGCATGAGGAACAAATACACCAAGCACTGCGGTGCACCAGCATGGATCCAGAATTAGCTGACAGGGTCCTGGCTATCCTAGTAGAAGGGAAACCTATACCGGATGATATGCCCGGTGTTTGGACACCTGAAGATGACAAATGCATAGAAGGAAATGAGACTCGAGGCATCCAACGAGTCATGGAGAAGCATGGGACGGAGGCCTTCAACAATCGCTGGGAGTACCTCAGCATGGTCAGAGAGGCCGGTCTTCTGGATACCCTATGAATAGGACTGCCGCAATTTCAATATTCCGGAACTGCGAACTAATAAATAATAATGTACATGGATCCTGAAACGCTCAAAAGAGACACAAAAACAAAAATCCGGAAATCACATGATACCCAAAGAGCAGTAGTGCGAATGAGTTCGCGAAGACCTGGTGCAGCTGGCCCAGTTCCGTTGTATGCCGGTGTTGGTTCTCTTCAAGCTGGAGAACTCTATGGGGGTCCATGTCGAGACTAGCCCAGGCCACTGTCTTACACTTAGGTTATCTTGAACCAGTAGTTGAAACTTCAAAAACACCCTATATGCTTGCTCCTTCAGGACTACTTTGCAATTGCGCCTGTCGTAAATTGGACGATGATAGATAAAGAACCCGAACCTCAACGAATGGATTATTCAGCCCTCCTTAAAGACCCTAATGAGAGAGTTTAGCATATGCTCATATTACAAGGCAATGAATGAGGATGTCTTACAGATGTGATTCATAGAATTGAAGCATCTTCCTGCAAGTTAGCGCCGACAAAGAACCGCGGATCCCAAAAAACTCACCTTCTTCGGGCACTTGTCGTAGCACATCTCTATGTTGACCTTTGATTTTCTACCATTCTTCCAGCTGATAAACGCAAGCAGATTTGACGTTCCCGGTTGCCGTATGATTGTTTCCACGGTGTCGACCTCTTTCTCCCAATTGCGAGATGAGGGAACCCACGTGGATGTGTCGTCGCTTTCACCTTCATCGGCCTGCTCTTTTTCTGGTGACTCTGTTGTTGTTTCAGCCCGTGACTTGCGGCGTCTCTTGGGCTCGGGGGTTTTCTCGGGGGCGGACTTCGGAGGTCTTCCCATCGACTTGCGCTTCTTTGTCTGCGGTTGTGGCTTTTCAGGACGGCCCCCCAGGACTCGAAAGTACTCCTCGACTATATCCTTCGCGCCTTCTCTGTAAACAATCCATCAGTATCGCTGAAGCTGTAGTGAGCGACGTCCAGTAGCATACAATAGATTCTCTTCTGGCTCCCATGTCATGTCAGCGGGGTCATCGTAGCCCTGCCACTTGACTTGTAAAAGGAGGTCGCCCTACCAAATCATTAGCCAAAGCATGTCCTCTCGGTGTCAATTGAACAGGTATATATAAAGAAAATCGCGCACCTTCTTGGCCCATTCATGATTCATAATCTTTTCAACAGCGTATCTGTTCATGTCAATCCCTGCTTGCGACAAGGTCGCACGCGCGCAAGCTTACACATCCTCTTCTTCCTCGTCCTCGTCCTCGTCCTCATCGTCATCCTTAGAGGCATTCTTTGTTGACCGAGCATCGTTATAGGGAATCGACTCGCCACTCGACGACTCGTCATCGGAAATGTCAGGAACCGGCGCTGTAGTATGGTTAGTTTGACGCTCGATCTCGAAAACAGCATAGATGCATCAGTTTGCGGCTACATACGGGGCATTGTCCTGAAGGAAGCAAAGTTAAGAAGTCGGGAAAACAACTTGGCGGATTCCGCGAGAAGTAGGCCCACGGATTAATAAGATCACAGCGTGAATGACAAAGGAATAGACATTAGGGACGAGGCGACAATAGTGTAGCTGAGGGTCAAGTTGCTTTGGGCGCAGATGAAATGCCGAGTCGCGCGGGCGCGCGGTGGGAAAATCACGCTATACCCGATATAGAAAGCAGCTCACTAGCCCGCTTTGGACATCTCCAGAATTTCGAATTGCAAGTGTGCCTCCAAGTCCCTCCGCCGTCCGCTCCTCTGCCTTCCCCCATCGCTCCGATCAACTGTCCTGGGAGTCTACTCGATCCGTTGGCTCCTATCTTTGACCCCCTTGCCGGCTTTTATTTTCCGACTCTCTGAAGTGGGTTTTCTGCCAAGTGGCAGACCGTCAAAATGGCGATGCGTATGTTGCAGATACCCCTCACTCGGCATCAACTATACTAACATTCTTTGGCCTCTTTTGCAGAGCTTGATCTTTCTCAAGGTGGGACCTTTCGCTGCTCCGGACTTGCTTCGGTTTTGATATCTGTTGCTGACCATTACATCAGCTTCTGTAATGAAGGATGAACAGGGTCGGCCATTCATCGTCGTTAGGGAGTACGTTCCGATCTTCGACTCATATCAACACCAAATGGACGGTTTCTTTCAGGGCAGGCGGCTAATCCGGTTCTACAACACAGTCAAGGAAAGAAGAAGAGACAGCATGGCACGGATGCGGTGAAGTCACACATTGTTGCCGCTAAGACGGTCGCCAGCATCGTCAAGACCTCCCTGGTACGGACCGTCACCGGACTGGCAGAATAAGCAGTATTTTAATGGATTTATAGGGTCCCCGTGGTCTCGACAAGATTCTGATCTCCCCTGACGGAGATATTACCGTTACGAACGATGGTGCCACTATTCTCGGCCAGGTTTGTCCTTTACCATCAGCCGCTACACTCGAGAATATATCTGACCTGTTGATGCTGGAAAGATGGAAATCACGAACAACGTCGCCAAGCTTCTTGTTGAGCTGTCGAAGTCTCAAGATGAGGAAATCGGTGATGGAACGACAGGTGTCGTTGTGTTGGCTGCGGCCATGCTGGAACAGGCGGCCGAACTCATCGACAAGGGCATCCACCCTATTCGGATCGCAGACGGTTACGACCAGGCTTGCGAAATCGCCATTGCGGAACTCGACAAGATCAGTGATGTGATCCCCTTCACCAAGGAGGACACTTCGAACCTGCTTAAGGTTGCCAAGACCAGTCTGGGTAGCAAGATGTACGAGGATTTCTCCGTTTGCCCCTTGGGCCCTGCATGCTGACCCTTGTACAGTGTTTCCAAGTCTCACGACCAGTTTGCGAATATCGCTATCGATGCAGTTCTCTCCGTGGCCGACCTCGAGCGCAAGGATGTCGATTTCGAGCTGATCAAGGTTGATGGCAAGGTTGGAGGTGCCCTCGAGGACTCCCTCCTCGTGAAGGGTGTCATTGTCGACAAAGATTTCTCCCACCCCCAGATGCCCGACGAGGTTCGGGATGCCAAATTGGCTATCCTGACCTGCCCGTTTGAGCCCCCGAAGCCCAAGACCAAGCACAAGCTCGACATCACGTCGGTCGAGGAGTTCAAGAAATTGCAAGAGTATGAGCGGGAGAAGTTCACAGAGATGATCCAGAAGCTGAAGGACTCTGGCGCCAACCTGGTCATCTGCCAGTGGGGTTTCGACGATGAGGCCAACCACCTTCTGCTCCAGAACAAGCTCCCCGCTGTTCGCTGGGTCGGCGGCCCTGAGATCGAACTGATTGCCATCGCGACCAACGGTCGTATCGTTCCTCGTTTCGAGGATCTGAGCTCGGAGAAACTCGGAACCGCAGGCCGTGTTCGTGAGATGACCTTCGGTACCACTCGGGAGAAGATGCTCGTCATTGAGGATTGCGCCAACAGCCGTGCTGTGACGGTGTTCGTTCGTGGAAGCAACAAGATGGTAAGTTCGAAGATATCGAGGAAATATCAGGGGACATGTACAGGATGCTGACACTCTCTTAGATCATTGATGAGGCCAAGCGTTCGCTCCACGATGCTCTCTGCGTCGTGCGTAACTTGGTCCGTGACAACCGTGTTGTCTACGGTGGTGGTGCTGCTGAGATTGCTTGCTCCATCGCTGTTGAGGATGCCGCTGTCAAGGTATGTCGATGTCCTCAGAATATGCGTCAAATTACATGCTAATGCCATGTCAAAAGAGCCCCGGAATTGAACAATACGCCATGCGTGCCTTCGCTGACGCCTTGGACGCCATCCCGATGGCACTTGCTGAGAACTCTGGTCTCAGCCCCATTGAGACCCTGGCTTCGATCAAGTCTCGCCAGGTCAAGGAGAACAACACCCGCCTTGGTGTGGACTGCATGATGACCGGCAACAACGGTTCGTATAAGGCATTCCTTGAAACCCCTGGCATTTTCGCTAATTAGCCATCTATAGACATGAGAGAGCACTTCGCCATCGATCCCCTGATCGGAAAGAAACAGCAGCTGTTGCTTGCTACTCAGCTCTGCCGTATGGTCCTTAAGGTGAGTTGTCCAACCAGATTTCTCCGTTTGTCTTGGAACGCAGCTAACTCGGACTGACACAGATCAACAATGTCATCATTGCGGGCGACGAGGACCAGGAATTCTAGATTTCTTCTGTATACAGGTTTTTTTGTTTCGATGGCTAAAAGTGACACAAACACTGGCGTTGCAGTCATGCGGAATCGATGATACTACATATAGTTCTTGCAGGTAATCAATCAGTCTCGGTGGTGCTATGGACGATAAACATAGCAGTTACATAGAATCAGTGAAATGACAGAAATGACTTTCAACCATTTCCGGAGTAGATGTAGGAGAAGGAGATAGCAAAGCCCTAAGAAACAGAACAAAGGACCAAAGAATGGTGGGTTAGCTACTAAATGAGGCTGAAATAGAAGTGAGTGGACGAAAGTAGTAGTTGTGAGGTAGTGACATTTATCATAGAATAAAAGTATCCTGGACATCTCAACTCTACTTTGAAAATACCATCTTCTAGTAGTCCTTATCTAAGTAACAAAATACTAATAAGTAGTTTCACTAACTAGGCTTTATATACTATAGTTAGCATTGTAGTTGGATTTACCGACAGACAAATGTCACCCCCTCAGCTTCTATATTATATGGAACTATGAAGTCACCGTATCTCAAAACCCACTCCCTCCATACTCGTGAATCATACATGGACTACTATAACCGTGAATCTCAGTATCAAACCTCCCTATCCTCAACCTCCCCCGCCTCCCGAGGTCGGAAGATACCGCAACTTCGTATACGATAATCACTCCCTTATCAGACCTCACAATTAACGAACACAAGACATCAGATATGTCTTCCCCGATTAATCTAATCCACTTAATCACAGGTAGTTATCTAGCCAAGAGAGACACCCGGAGCGGAAGTGGGAAAAGGAAGGGAACATATCCGCCCGAGGCGGATAATGCACCTGCACCCATAGTGAAGGTGCGCGGCCCGCCACCCCAACCAGCCAGCCGCCCGCCTGTGCCAACCGATGGAAGCCTTCAATCAAGATAAGGAAAAGAATGGTAACTTTGAGAGTCAAAGTGTATTGCATATCGGTTTGTTAGATCACGAGAGTTTAAATATATAAGCTGCGTTGGTCCACGTCACATCGTGTTGGATTGTTCATTCTTCAACTTCAGTTTCTTTGTTATCAGTATATCCTTGATTACATATATATATTGCTTGCCACTACTTACTTCAAACTTCCCATCTTTCTATATATAACTTCGGTCTACTACTACTATCAATATGGGATCAAACGATGAAGCATCGTGGCGCCGCCTGAGCGTCGGTATTGTTGGTGGTGGTATTGGTGGTATGGCTGCGGCCATCTCGCTCCGTCGAGCAGGTCACGATGTGACTATCTATGAGCGTCATGATTTCGCGGGTGAGGTTGGAGCGTCGATTTCGTGCGCGGCGAATGGAACTCGCTGGTTACACGAATGGGGAGTCGATGTTGCTAAGGGCGATCCGGTCATTCTGCGCAAGTTGATCAACCGCGACTGGAAGACTGGAGAGCCTGTTAGTGTGTATGATTTGGGGGACTATGAGAAGCGTTGGGGATATGTTTATAACATGTTCCATCGGCAGTATATGCATGCTATGTTGAAAGACTGTGCTATGCAGGAGGAGGGCCAGGGAACGCCTGCGAAGCTGAAGGTCAATTTTCAGGTTCGTCGCGACATACGCTATCTTTGCTCTCGGGAGTAAGGTCCGATTATATAGTTGGCATGCTAATGTTGGGAACTATACAGTGCAAAGATATTGATCTGGATTCCGGAGTGATCACCTTTGCCAACGGGGAGACTGCCCAGCATGACTTGATCGTTGGTGCTGATGGAATCGGCTCGGTTGTCCGTGGTATTATTGGTATTCATCCTGAACGAAAGCCTGCAGCCTCCAGCTGTCTGCATACTAATGTAACGACGGAGGAGGCTGTTCGGCTGGGTCTGGTCGATTACTCGAAGAACAGCGCGCTTGAGTACTGGGGTGGACAGGAAGGCAAATGGGATAAGATCGTGCTCTCGCCTTGTAACGGTGGTCGCTTACTGTCGTACTACTGTTTCTTCCCTCGCGAGATGGGAGACTATGCAAGCCAGACCTGGGGTGGCGAAGACCGTCCCGTCGAGGAACTTCTCGCGCCTTATCCTCATCTCGATCGCCAGGTCTTCTCGCACCTGAAAATTGGCAAGGAAATCAGACCATGGCGTCTCTGGGTGCAGTGAGTACCCAACTAATACACTCCCACGGTCGCTTGGAAGTTGTTTGCGCTAACGGTGGGCAGCCAACCATACCCATATATCTCCCGCAACATGGTTTGCCTTCTCGGTGATGCAGGGCACCCGGTATGTTCTGACCTACGGATTTGAGCAAGAGACAGTATCGACTAACGCATCCCACTGTAGATGATGCCCCATCAGAGCCAGGGTGCCTGCATGGCAATCGAAGACGCTGCGGCCTTGGGAATTATCTTCAGCAGGGCGCACTTCACGGGCGATGTCGCCGATGCGTTGTCGATCTACCAGGAAATCCGATTGCCCCGGGCCACCAAGGTTCAGTCAGCTTCGGCGAAGGCAGCATATAATATCAACGAGCGCATTGGTAAGCGAGATTCACGATGCTAAAGTAGCGAAGATACTGGTCCTAACTATTCTATCCAGGTTTCTCTAGCAATACCGACACCGCCACCTATAAGGTTGAGGATGAGAAGAAGAAACTGACCATTGAGGAGATGAATGCGTAAGTTTCTTAGCCCATTTGATTTTATTCTGGTATGATTTTCTACGTCCAGACTCTGACGATCAAACCAGGTATGACATGCACAGAGACATCGAGGAAGTTGTCGCCATGCGAAGGGGGCTGCCGCACACAGACAAATTCATCAGAGGGCTACCAGTCGGCTTGAAGCTAGGAAACGGGGTAGTTGTCGGGGAGCAAGAGACTAGCTCATTCCAGCCTCGGATTTGAGTACAGCATGCGGCATGCTAGTGTTTTGGGGGCGCAGCATTAGTTTCGCGCCGGTGGAGGAGTTCTTTCTTTTGGCGTTGTATTGTATCTAGCGTGATCATGATCTGAGATTGTACTTGAGCAGCTGATAGCATTTATCTACTATGGGTTAGTGTGACACGTACGGGGCAACCTTTTGGGCCTTCTCGAATGCAACTTTCACATCACTGCATTGACAGACCATGTGCCCGACCCTGGAAGTATTGAAGTTCTGTTTTTGTTCTGTTATGAAAGATTCTACGCATAGTATACCATCCTACTGGCTGAAACCATCACAATGTGCAGAGTTCCGATTCGGCGAAGACTGTGATGGCGCTCCGTAGTTGCTATCCAAATGACCTGTGAAGTTGATAGGATCGATTTCGGGCGAAGAGGGCCATGTGCGCTGTGTGTGCTCAGACACGGAGAAATGGATCAGCGGGATGTGGAGACGGGAAAAGGAGAGGAACAATGGGCTGACAGCTCAGCATGGGGTTAGTCGGTGATTGAGTGATAAAAGTACGATCGGCAAAAGGCTAGAAGATGACAAAAACATTGGTCGAATGAGCCTTATCAGACCATATTATAAACAACATATGAATTGGAGCTATCCATGCGATCTGATAGGGACAATCAGAATGGGTGGAAATGATTTCCACGAAGGAGGGTGAGAGTGATCTGGTGACGGTCGTCTGATCAGCGGGCGATAATGCAATTGTTATTCGGCTGCCTCGTCTAGACTGAGAGGGGAGCGCGACCATCAATTGGCCCGGCGACTACTTTCTGTCATTAGTCGACGACTCAGAAAAGAACAGACGGCATTGCACATCAACATCCACTCACAACCCGTCGCGGAGGATATGATCGATAGCGCACAGGCGTGGTAAGCCCGATGCAATATGCATTTGCTCAGATGACCAGCAGTGAAACTCTCCCGTAAATAGCAACGTAGCTATGCGTCGCAAGAAGAAGCAAATCCGACTTCTAGACTCGGTCGATCGCGTCTATTCAGCCGTCACGATGCAGCTGATGTTTTACCGGACAAGCCAGCTTCTGCGCTTCTTCCCGGGGTCCTTGTTCAGAAGCCGGTCCCTCCAATAATATCGAGTCGCTATCGTGGAAAATCCTCGAGATCCCTGCACAACGGTAGAAAGCTCTGCTCATACGAGCTTAGGAATAGCCGCCCGACAGGGGTCCATCGTCTATTCGCGAGGCTGCTTGAGACGACATCATTGTCGAAGGGACGAAGGTTTTTTTCTGGTTCTAGCCCACCACATCCGCCCTCACTACTGCTTAAGCCTCTATCGCTTGTGTATATCGGGCCTCGTCGATGAGCAACCTCCGCCATAGTCGATTACTCGGCAGGAGGCATGCAGTAATCGCAAAACCTTGGTGTCATTCTTCTCAACATTGGACAACGGAGCAGCCAGCTACATCTCATCCTGCCTCGTTCGACGACGGCATAGAACCAGGAAGGAGTATATTCACCGATCAAGTTGCCGTGGATTTAGGAACTGTCACTGGCAATCGGTTGCACATTCTGAACGGTCCTCGTGACAATACTGTCGTTGTTGGAAATGCATTATGCCATGTTATCGCTCATATAACCAAGATCAAAACACTTTTTCTCAAGGTCATGACATAGCACAGTCATGAGGACTTGGCTGGGCAATAAACCGTACGAACCGATGTGCAACCGCGGCTTGCATCTGCAGGTAACGCATCTCGTATGATTTGGTCGTCCAAGCCTTGGTAGACCGGCATGCTTTGTATGAGAAACGTCGAGCGTATCCGCAAGGGATTCTCGAATCCCAATCATCAAAGCCAGTCTGTAGAAACCATCCTTCGATAAAGAGTCCCGATCAATGAATATGAATTTTTGTCAGATGTCCCATGACTTTCAGTCATCAATACTATTCGGTGTGCGGGAACGGAAGCGCCGAAACTTCCAATTGCCTTTCGATAGAAGTATATGGGATGTTGATGGGGTTACACTCGTCTGGTGCCTCAAGCCGCCTCATCCGATCATTTTGAAGAGGCTGTATGTTAGAGCAAGGAGCACCCTTGCGCCTATGGCTGGCCAGAGGAAGATGCAGAAGCATTTGATCCTGTCCGGAGGTTATTGTCTCAATGACTTTTAGTCATGGCTTCACTGAATCAGCATCAGTATCGTTAGTGTCAGTATAATGTCGCTTCTAGAGGATGATCCATGGCTGCTGTTGACTCACCTTTCCTTCCGAACTATTGCTCAGACATGGGCCTTTTGCAGATTATGAGCTCACTTTGCAGGTACTGCAGGCTTCCATGGACTCGATATGGAAATTCTATTCGATCGCGGCCAGGGTGGCATCTTGCATATCGAGAGCTAAATAGGAAGGCTAAGATCCCATTCGGAAGGTACTTCGATCTACGATCTGTCACCGCTGTTTATCATGTGATATGGTGCATACAAGAGAGTATTCTGGCGTTACGGCATCTCGAAGGGAAACAAACATATCTGGAATCAGCTGCAATAAGGCTAGCGTAGGACGTCTTTGTGCTATGAACAGAACACTGTCTTAGTAGCTTGTGTATGGTTACAGCCTCGGTGATTACCCAGCAGGTGACCAGAAAACTGCTAAGTATCTAGACAGTACCTCCTTAGAATGATGCTGATCCCGGACAAGGATATGTCCGATGGAAGCGCACAGCCCTGAAGCGAAGTCAAAGATGCACGATTGTGTAGAGGAATGATTAACCGGCCTCGGTTAAAGCGGCGACGTCCCGAAAATAGAAAGTCCACGCAGCGCCAGGAGACAATGCGCAGCGGTTACCACCCGCCATCACATGGCTGCGAGCATCGACGTGGCCGGCCTCCGTTCGCGCCAAAGTCCACCATGATTCTGTCTCGTGGGACCCGAGCATAATCCTTCCCCCTTTTCTCATGACAGCAACTGACGATCAGGGCGTCAAACGAGAAGCCGTGGCGTGTTTGCAAGGAGGAGATGCCTTACAACAACACTGTCAAGCAATCACCTGTCGCTGCTTCAATATTAACAGCGATGTCTTGGGCGCCCATTATTTCTATACCGCTACTTCGGACTTGGGCGATTTCAGCATCACACGACTGCAGGAGGTGATCCTAGCATCTGATGATGCTCACCACTGGTATGTGCCTTTCTTTCTTTGGTCTCTCTGTAGCATTACTGTATGTTGAGACTCGTAACTGGAGTATTTACAGTATTTCACACAATTTCCGTCGGTCTGTTTTTTCTGTCTTTTTCCATGCACTCTATTCCTTGGTACCTCACAAAAGTACTACATCAAGTCAGGTACCAGCCATGTGAAGACATACATCTAAACATTCACGAGGATATCGATTTATACCATCAAACTCCGATCCAGACCATCTGGGGCCTTTTTGATTGGCACATCGGCATCGCCAGATATACACCTCTCAACCCTGGCTATGCGATCCGATTAGCCCGTTCACCCTCGACACCTTATATACCGGACCAATAGAGATAGCCAACCCGGACTAATTTCTCTCGCTCTAGTTTGAAAGCACTTAGATCTAAGCCAATAGCCTTTGCAACCCCCTTTGACATGAAACGAAGCCCACAGCAACTGCCGATTAGCTGAGAAACATATCCGAGGTGCAAGTCACATGGATGGGACATGGCGGCTGTCAACCTAACTCTACCGACTCTTTCGGGGATACCTTATATCGCAAGGTCATGCGACAGCCGGAATCGGTGCCTGATCTGCCTAAACTTGAACCAATGTCTTCTTCGTGCTACACTAACTCGAGTTTGTCTTTGTTTCAGCTTATCGCCATGAAAGGTTCCAGCTATTAACCAACACTTACTTGGCCGTCCCATGAACTCTCTGTTATGAGTGTGCTATCCGACCATACCCCATCGGCAGATGATGACGGTTATGAGAGCACGCCCATATAGCAATGTGACAAGTCTACTAGATGTTCCCAATCCGAACTCTCGGCCTATTGCGGGGAAGGACTGCTAACCCCGGAAACCCCTGATCCAGTTATTGAACCCCATGGGCCCAGCCCGCCAACTGGCCGCATTCATCATCCACGAACAACAACTATCTATAGCAGAACGACACGGCATATAGACAGAGTCATACTTTCAACAAACAACAGACGAGTCTCACCTCCACAGGGCCTAGAATAATAGATCGACCATAGCAATTCAACACACGCCCATGCGAAATGATGACTCCCACCTGTACCCTGCAGCGACCGGACCAGTTACTATGATAGCTATTAACCCACATCAACGGCGGTATCAGCCAACGTGTAACAAAAGCGCCCTAAATCAGGCAAGGAAGAAGTATACAGCCCTGTCATCTGACACGAGGATTTTTTCTCTCTCTCTCTCACTCATCAACCTCGATTAAGGAATCACTTACTAACTATAATCCCTATTTGCTTTTTTTCCTTTTGGTCTTTTCCCCCCTCATTTGTTTTTCCTAGAACCAGGTCTCGGGATTCTGCCAACGTTGCACAACGGAAAAACTAATCTCAACTAGTCAACTAGTAGTTAGTCACTTACTGCACATGCAACTGATGATTTCTCAACGGACTCCGTACTTACAGTTCTGCATGATAGTACTCTAGACCCTACACCTGTTCATGTATGTTATGTACATATGTACCTAGATGGGTACTTACATGAGTGGTGGGGGGTGGTGGTGCAACACACTGCCACTTACCGTAAGTATTTGGTTGTTGTTGTTGTTGTTGTTGTTTTTTTACGTCCAAATCGGCGGTGGGTGGGGGTCGATCCCAACCGGACAAGGTATCTGTGAACATGCCTGTTGACCCAAATACCGGGACATGCAGATGCGATGACGATTGTTCTACTGCTCGGTTTATTGCCTCATTCTGGTTCTACTTCTTCTTCGGAGATAGCATAGCATCCTTCCCTAATACAATACTTGATGTTCTACTTGACGATCTAAAGCCATAGCCACTCGTATAGCGATAGAAAAATAAAGGCGCGGGTATATTTAAGCACCTAAGTATAGTGTAGTAATACATTATCGAAAAATATGTAAGTCCATACATACATACTTACATAACTAATGATCTACTATTATTTATTGTCTTTCAAAACATACATACTTGAGTTACGTCCGTCCCTGAATCAAGGAGTAAACCACTACCACTACCACTACCACTCACTATTATTCTTCAGCAAGACAAGGCATACCCAAAGAGGCAACCCGATGGCTAATTCTACTTACTTACGGTCAATGAAAAGAAGTTTGCGTGATTTATGTACAGAGTACTTAGTAGTAGTAAATATAGATAAGGACGTAGGTACAGTTATCATCTGCTATCAATCCAAGGCAAACATATGTATGCATGGATCATGCCTAAATATCGCACATAGTAAGCTACTCAGGTATTGAGCTGCATTGTTTTGTAGCACACACACTCAGTTACACTGTGTTCCTCGTTTTCGCCTCGGTGGGGGGGTGATCAATCCGGGGTAATTCCGTGAACGTGCCTTTCATTGCTGCAGATTTGAGAGAATGGAAGAGGAGGTGGCAAGTAGGTAGATAAGTGAATACACAGTTGGTTTCCTTGCAGGATTGGGGAAGAGCTCTCAAGACAGATAGATGAGGGATAGATGGATAGCTTACGTGGCTAGGTAGGAGAGATAGAAGGGAGGAATTTTTCGATGGATGGCTGGTGAATGGAAATAGTAAAAGGAAAGGAGGTCTAAGTCCTGGTCCCGGCCCCGTGTTCCAGTCCAATGGGACTACTACTGTTGCTACAGCTCATTCTTCAGTCGAGAGAGTTTGAAGCTATGTTTTATATTGGTTTTATCGCGTGTTGAGGATTTGTTGGGGGGGGGGGGAAGGGGAAGGGCACGGAGTAAGGAAGAGAAAAAAAGAAAGAAAGGGCAAAATTCAGATTTACCGCAATAGGCTTCCCGGAGCACTCACTCAGTCAATCAATGATGTGTGTGTGTGTGTGTGGGTGGGCTTGATTTGTTTTTCCCTTTCCTGTTCCTCAGATCCTTGAAATGCGATCCGCGCTATAACCCTTGCATTTACGTGGAGAACCCACCATTCCCCTGGAGGTCAAAGCGAGCGAGAGCTACGAATTTGCATGATCTGGTAGCCGCTAGGCTGGGTTCTCGAACAAAGGTCCGATTCTGAACCGGTCTATTTTGCTAACCAGTTCCTGGTAGATTGGCCCTTTCCTGGATTACATGACAAGAATCGTTCATGGGTTTTGGCTGGTCCGGGGGATGCGGCCCGGGAATTATGGAATGTGACTTGTTCAGGAGAAACGGCGGTGCTACGTACCACGTCGGTTCCCCATCGTATGGCATTTGACGGGAAGGCAGGAAATAGCAGTGAAAGACAGTGAGAAAGAGGGAGGAATTGAAGAAAAAAGAGACCGTGTGTGTATATTGGGCTTTGTGCTCCGTAGCAACCCATACATTAGTGCTGGCCGGCTTAGTGACTGGTGGTACCCGGCTGCCCTGTGTGCCCGGGTCGTTATCCCTTCCAAATGCATATCCCGGGAGTCGATATCCGTGCGCAATCCAAGCTTTAAGCTATGCATAAAGAATTCAAGGGCCGGAGAAAGTTTCGAGATCGTCTCAAAATAAGGCTAGAGTTCAGGAGGCAATTTCATCCCAATATGAGGCAATATCCGCCCTGGTGAAACGGTTTACAGATGAGTTTGTGACTCCTAGGATTATGGATGGTATCAACAACATTCTCGGAAATTTTGGCGATCGTGAGAAGTTCCCAAAGTCGTAAGCTTTATTCATGGGATGGAAGATGTCGATGGCCAATCCACTACTACTCCAGGTGAATGCCTGAGTGTATGGCACCAGCCACAGCAACATACCGTAGATCATGTCGTGCAAGATCCAGACGGTTCTATGATCTACAGTGCCGTACTCAGTAGAGTTGAGGCCACTGTGTTCCTGGCCTGACGCCCTACTTCGGCCAGTCCCAAAGGAGGAATGGCAGACTACCTATAGAGGAAATAGGCAACGGGCGTTGTGTTCACACAACAGCATCACCGTCCCTGTTGTTGTTGTTCCCAGCCTGCGCGTCCTGTCGGATATCTCTAGTATTGACTAAGGTCGGGCGGGAGTACTCCGTAAGACACCGGCGGCACCTGCTGTTTATCATTCTTTGTCTGCAAGCTGCACTTGATGCATGGTGCCTTATCCGGTGCTTCTAAGCCGCTGTTTGACGTGATGCAGCTGCGCCCAGTAGCGTCCTTCCATCCCCGTTGGCTTCTAGTCAGCAATCGATCATAGTGTCGGCACTTTCGCAGGTCAGGAGAGCAGTCGACAATGGCGGAGCCGAGTAAAGGCCGTATGGGCGATACTGTTTCTATACAGTTCAGCTCTGTGTGTGATTGTAAACGAGTCAACTCGGTGTATCAACCTCGATTGAGCATGATATGGTAGAGAGAGATAGATAGACATGGAATCCCCTTCAGCCGCGACCGGTGGCGCATTAATGCCGCGGGACGACCCCACATCATGTGACGGAGGAGCTGTCTTGTGACTCGGGGGTGGGCCTTTGCCACTGCGGGTTTGTTTGGTTTTGCCCCCACGTTAAAGGGGGCGGGCGGGAGATGAGGTAACATCAGTCAGTCAGTACGGAGTAGTCAGTCCTCTGTCACTATTGTAGCTAGCTAGCTAACTAGCTGTATTTTGTACACTGGCACTCTGGCAGGTGGCATCTGCATCGACTCGCTTCTACGCCACAGAGCAATAGTCGCCTCTGCCTGTTCTACCAGTAAGGTAGGCGTCCTGATGTTGTCAATGGTCCTCGGCAACTTTCTGTCGGCATGGACGTCAGCTCCCTCGATCAAGTGTGGATTGCTTTTTCTTGCCTTCCACTGGTGTACCGCGGGAGTCCCTCGGATGCCCTCATCGGTTGACGGATTCTCCCGAACAATCGAGGTCATCTCGAACAATGACAACCAATTGTCAATGAACAGTTGGTTGATGCTCCGAGAATTTGTGAAGCCCTTCCTACATGGGGAATCATGAGATAGCGGGTTCCAACCACGGTATAATTTCACCTCTCCTTCAGCATCGTCATCATCATCCGGAGAGTTTACCTGGGTAGGCTCAACAACACGGAGAGTATGGAGCATTTCCCATCCCATTGTTAGGGAATGACTGGGACTTCCCATAAGCTTAACCGGTCAATGTACCCAGATAAGAATGTAGCTCCGTAGAATTATGGAAAAAGGGCGTCATCCATGGAATTCCCTCTATTCTTCATGGCACACACCTGCAAGAGGTACGCCTGATGAATCGGAGTGTGGTCGAGTGGGCTAGGGCGCAGCTACGTGGCTCCCTCTAGAAGCATCGCTGTGGAACGATTCCATGCATGAAAGATGGCAGCTGAGCACTTGGATCATTGAAAGCGGAGGTGTCCGCCCCCCAGCTGCAAGCGAAGCGAATAAGCTCACCATGTTGACGGGTTTCCCTGATTTCCACCTGCCAACAGAGCTTTGGTGCCTAGGAGATAATGCTGCTCTTGGTTATTGTCTGCATTGAATATGCAAGAAAGACGGGTGTGGGCTCAATTATTAGCTATGGAGATTTACTTACTATCTACTTACTTACGTTCGCAAATGCCGATCTTGACTTAGTACTTGACTATCACTGTCTAATTAATAGCGCCTGTCTAGTTTTGGTAAGAGTTTATATCATTGCGGGGTTTACCTGGGCCATCCGTCCCCCGATATTAACTTCTCCTTCCTAACATAGGAGAGTGTGTATGAGGGTGTATAGAGTAGTACCTTCCCCATGCTACGAAGCATTCCGTAGTAAGACGTTTACTATCCGGCAATGCGATCGACTTTAACCAGCAAGTGACCACAATGTGAACCGCCTTGCAGATCGTTCAACGTCGCCGCTACTACTCAGTACTAACTCGACAGGGCCTTGTGAGGCTTGGAAACTCCCTTTGGGCCCCAATAAGCCGACGAGGTCACGACCCCTCCACATTCAGCAACTTGAACTTCTTCTTCTTTTGCTTTTTCTATTTTTTTTTTCTGATAATTTCTTTTGAACTTCCCGTATTTCATACATCGGAGAAAATTTGGAGATAGTTTGGATGAAGATGGAAAAACAATCTACACCAACGGGAAGCCCGCCTTAGTGAAGTAACTAACTACTGTACAAGCAGATGACGGCTTTTACTCCGAAGATGAACCAGCAACTTTTTATTTTCAGTTTACAACTCATCCATCAGGTGTTCGGGGAGTGAACCTGGACCTTTGACGTGGAACATCACATGATTGTAAAACGTGGGCTGACGGCTTGGGAACTGGCTGGCACTGGCTGTCAGTTTCAAAAAGGGCAGTGGTGATGGTGAATCGGGCGATCTTCTGAATCCTAGTTCCCCGAACCACTCACCCGGGGATCCGCGATGAAGGATCAAGTGTGGCGTTTTAGTCTATTATTGATATTGTTATTATTCGCAACGGGGCGTTTGGGAAGTTTTTGCAAGGCCCCGTGACAGGAAAAAAAAAAGGGGGGGTGTGGTGGTAGGGTGGGAAGGAAAGGGCTAAACCGAACAGGCGGGTAATCAATCCAGGTATCTAACTACTACTCCTTGTGAACGATTGTATCATACGTGCTGGATGTAGTATTGCCCCCCATTATTTCTTTTTATTTACATTATGTTGTTTGGGAATATACTACTACCTACCTACCGTTCTCACAAAGATAGCATCACAAGTACTTTAGTGACAGCTGGCAGGATTTTCGCCTTGTGACTATGGACGGGGTGAGGAATGAGCGAACACGAATACTCTGTTGTTGGGTCACTCAGATTAGGTATACCAGTCTCCTGAGACCGGTATTCGGAAGGGATACATAGTCATTGGACATGTGTACTTTAAATCTCAAATCAAAAGTGCTTTGGGGTATCGTGGCTTGGAGGGTAAAAGGGCATTGAAGACTTGCGATTCAGGGTACATACATACATAACTGCTGCAGACTTCAAAGGGCGCAATGAACTGATAAGAGGAAGGAGAACTATGTAGGTGTGAGATGATCATCCAGATCGGAAACGCTGCGCTCTTTCCCCGGTATGCGACTCCGCCTGGGGCATTTTGCGAAGGTACATACCACCACCGGCTAATAAGAACAAACAGTAAGGAAGATCAGTAGTGCTCAGGCCATTTCAGCCGGGATGATTGAACCATCCACGTCGACATATCATATGGATGTAGAAAGTCAGAGTTTCGATCAGACACGCTTGAGCCTAAAAGGGGATCAGGGTCGATAAGTTGGGGATGAGGTCAAGTGCCGGAATGCCCGGTTTCAGAACTAGGTCGGGTAGTCTGTGTGTAAGATGTTGATGTCTAGAGACCGGGTAACAGGAACGTGGCTTGGGGAGGTGCCCAGAATGTAGACGGTAAAACCCATGGTTTCCTTAGTCACATTTGGATATCAAAGAATCTGCCCGAAACTAAGCATGTCCGTGACGAAAGCAGTTGAACTGAATCGAGCAATAAGTCACTAGTCAGCAGGACATAACAATAATAGCCCAGCGGTGGGTGGTGGGTGAAGTGTCAAATGCCCCTGACGAGGCGAGGGATTAGGCACGGTGCCTAGATTGACAGTGATGATGGAAATGGATCTGGATGCTGGGTACAATGATGGAAGTGGCTATTATCGTTAGGTCTTCAATAGTAGTGATCATTAACCCGATTCCTACAGTATGCCAGCCCTGGCGAATTGACAAGTGCGGAGTGATATCAGCAGCACTTCGCCTCGGCCAATCGTTCGGGACCCATTTTTGAGAAGTCAAGTGACCCGATCGATTGACTGGTGAACTGTTAAAGATGCCTTGTCCTTAGTCAGCCGAGGCGATGGTCACAGGACGGGTTGATCTTTGTTTGAATGTTTGTCTAGAACGATCCCCTGTGGCCTTTTTTCTTCCCTCCCCCTGTTGTTGTCATTGCTATCTCTCCAGGGGTTTTGCTTTGTCGGTGATGCATACATAGTGCTGCCGGTCCGAGATGAAGCGAGAACCAGGGTGAATCAAGGCATCAGGTCACAAAAACTTTGAGGCTTTTTCAAAGGTGATCCATTTTGGAGGCTGCTATCCATACCTGGACGGTATTAGTATGTATCTATCCAGATCCAGGGTCAAGCTTCATCTGGTTGCAAGTGTTGGGGGGTGGGTGTAGACGCATTCACCGATGTATAGCTGGCCCTACTTGACTAGTAGTATTGTTCTTCAATACCAGTTTCGTACTTTGTTCCAAAGTGGGACTCCGGAAACAGACCGATGGTAATATTACCGGTGTTATAACAATGTATGAAATACCAGTAGACCCACGGGGTTACTCCGGATGTACCATTGCGAAAGGGGAAATTTGAATTTCAGAAAAATCAAAAATCGGAAAATGGAAAAAAAAAAAAAAAAAAAAAAAAAAAGAACGCAAATAATCCCAAGATTGATCACACATCCGGGACCACGGATGGGGAGGAGGCGCGGCTAGGAGCCCATCCTTGTACTTACCGCCATCCCCCCCATCGCTGGTCAACCACAGTACCTCTCCCTCGGTACGTACCCCCATCGGACTTTTCTCTTGTGGCCACCGTCAAATTCCCATTTTCTGCCATTTTCTGCCTCTTTTTCCCTTTTTTTCCCCTTGTATTGAACCCGTTACCAGTTCATACCGGACACTCACTCATCCACCCTCCCTCCCTCTTCCCCCCAATTCTCCACCGACCCGTCCGTTAACTATCTTGCCTTTTCCTCTTTTCTTCGTCCGCTCCACCAGCCAGACTAAGGTTCTCCTCCCCCATATTCCCCTTCGATTTTTTCCCTTCCTTCTTTCCTCCTTCACTCATTCCTCTCGCCCATCACCCTCAATCCTCATCCCCACGTCCATACCCGACCTCCCTGAACCGGCCATATCTACATACTTCGCGCCAGTACGCTTGAACCTTCGTTCAATCTTCACCCACCCCGACTGTTTTTCGTTTTCGGTCGTTTCTCTCTTAGATAGGTAGTACTGGAAAGTGTGAAGGATCCGCTTACGGAACCGGCTTCGATCAATCGACCTACCCCGGATCGATCTCTCTTGCGCCATACCACCCTCCATCTCGCACAGCAATTGTTGAACTCGACACCTGCTGCACTTGACAGGCAGCTTGGGCGCCACTTTCAATCTCAATCGACTTTCTGCAGCACGCTGCAGAACCCAAACTTGGAGGCGTTACTCTCAGTAACCTTGGAGGATCGAAGAGGTCTATTTCGCAACTTCTCGCGCCGAACGACCACGCTTGGGGGAGACGGCGACCCCGAAACTACACTCCTACGGGGAAGAAAAGAATCGTTTGAGGAACTACAACATATTCGAAATTGTGGCGTCGTTAGAATGGCTTCGCGTTTTTCAACCCCCGTTCTGACGGTGGATACGGCCAAGATCCATAAGGTCGACACAGCCAATGCGCAAAGTCTTCATGGCATGTGGATGGGTAAGTGCATCTAGTTTGTTGCGGGTATCAGTCGCGTCTGGTGGCTGACAATTGACCTCCGAATTTAGTCTTTTCGAAATGTGCCGACTATATGGAGGAAGGCCGACGTCTAGAAAACCTGAGCTGGCGACTCTGGACACGTGAGACCTTCTGTGTGGAGCCGGAGACCTCCAGCACTACCTCGGTTTTGCCACTCCTTCGTTCCGAAGCTGGG